AACTAAGATCATGGCATCCAGTCCCATCACTTCATTGCAAATAGATGGGATAACAGTGGAAACAGTGGCTGATTTTATTTTTCTGGGTTCGAAAATCACTGTAGATGGTGATTGCAGCCATGAAATTAAAAGACACTCCTTGGCAGGAAAGTTATGACCTACCTAGACAGCATATTAAAAAGCAGAGACATTACTTTATCAACAAAGGTCCATCTAGTCAAGGCTATGGTTTTTCCAGCAGTCATGTATGGATGTGAGAGTTGGACTGTAAAGAAGGCTGAGTGCTGAAGAATTGATGTTTTTGAACTGAGGTGTTGGAGAGGACTCCTGAGAGTCCCTTGGACTGCAAGGAGATCAAAACAGTCAATCCTAAAGGAAGTCAGTCCTGAATATTCATTGGAAGGACTGATGCTGAAGCTGAAACTCCAATACTTTGGCCACCTGATATGAAGAACCGACTCATTGGAAAAGACCCTGATGCTGGGAAAGATTGACGGTAGGAGGAGAAGGGGACGACAGAGGATGAGATGGTTGGATGGCATCACCGACTAGATGGACTTGAGTTTGAGCAAGCTCTAGGAGTTGGTGATAGACAGGGAAGCCTGGCAGGCTGCAGTCCATGGGGTTGCAAACAGTGGACCATGACAGTGACCGAACGTTATCATGTGACATACTAGAAAGAAGGTGTGCTATGTGGGACTTCCCTGGTGGTCTAGTGACTGAGACTCCATGCTTCCAATGCAGAGGTCCTAGGTCACATCCCTGGTCAGGGAACTAGATCCTGTGTGCTGCAACTAAGACCTGGCACAGCCAAATAAATAAATCATTTTTTTTTTGGAAAATGTGATGCATGCTACATGTGTGAACAGGGAATAGTGATAATTCAGATTGGCTAGGGGAAGAGGCAAACTAACCAAAGCTAAGTGCTGATATTGGTGATTTCAATGATATTCTTTAGGTAATGGATAAGAATTCAGGCTTTACAAACCAAATAGTAACATGACCAGGGCTGCCATTTGGGGAGATTAATCTAGATGTAGAAGGGATTTGAGGGGAAAAGAAATTCAATGCAAAGTTACTAAAATTCTGAGTGTTGAAATGAGACGAGCTGTCAGGGAGAAGGGAACTTCCAAGACAAGGTAGAATTCATGGGTTTTATCAACAGATTGCGTGTGGAAGCAAATGGGACGGTGCAGGTACAAGATGGCCCTGGGTTTTAGCACCTGTTACAGGCTGTTAAACAAGGACAGATGCAGGAAGGGTCTTGATTTTTGATCAGTTACATACAATGTGCACTTGGGCCATTTGTTTAACTGACAATCTCTTAGAAGTACCAGTGCTTAGGAAAAGTAAGGTCAAGGCTAAAGTTATAGATCTGAGAATTATATGAAGAGAAGTAGAAATTGAAAACATGCGACTGAGTGAAATAGCTAAAGGAAAACACGTTCTTTGTACTGATGACGAGCCCAGGAAGCTCAACACTAAATTTCAAACCTAATAGCATGTGTTCCTTATTTTAGGTTTTCTATATGTTTCTCTTGTGCTCTGTCATTAAAAATTAGCCCTCCCCCATTAAAACTTGGCATTTGGGTAGCTTCAATGGTATTTTTGAAACACTGATGCACATATTTATCCAAATTTTAACATCATTGAAATTGAGATGTGTCTTATAACCACTGAATGGTGTGTCATAGTTTAACTGGCAACATGCTTTCATTCTTTGTAGTATATAAAATAATGGTGCATGTTATAATTAATGGTGTCTTAGAAAGGCAATGCCAAAGAATGCTCAAACTACTACACAATTGTACTCATCTCATAGGCTAGTAAAGTAATGCTCAAAATTCTCCAAGTCAGGCTTCAACAATAAATGAACTGTGAAATTCCAGATGTTCAGGATGGATTTAGAAAAGGCAGAGGAACCAGAGATCAAATTGACAACATCCGTTGGATCATCGAAAAAGCAAGAGAGTTCCAGAAAAACATCTATTTCTGCTTTATCGACTGTGCCAAAGGCTTTGACTGTGTGGATCACAACAAACTGTGGAAAATTCTTCAAGAGATGGGAATATCAGACCACCTGACCTGCCTCCTGAGAAATCTATATGCAGGTCAGGAAGCAATGAACAGGACATGGAACAAGACTGGTTCCAAATCGGGAAAGGAGGACATCAAGGCTGTATATTGTCACTCTGCTTATTTAACTTATATGCAGAGTACATCATGAGACATGCTGGGCTAGATGAAGCACAAGCTGGATTCAAGACTCCCTGGAGAAATATCAATAACCTCATATATGCAAATGACACCACCCTTATGGCAGAAAGTAAAGAACTAAAGAGCCTTTTGATGAAAGTGAAGGAGAGTGAAAAAGTTGGCTTAAAACTCAACATTCAGAAAACTAAGATCATGGCATCCAATCCTATCACTTCATGGCAAATAGATGGGGAATCAGTGGAAACAGTGGCTAACTTTATTTTTGGGTGGCTCCAAAATCACTGCAGATGGTGACTTCAGCCATGAAATTGAAAGATGCTTACTACCTGGAAGACAAGTTATGACCAACCTAGACAGCATATTAAAAAGCAGAGACATTACTTTGCCAACAAAGGTCCATCTAGTCAAGGCTATGGTTTTTCCAGTGGTCATGTATGGATGTGAGAGTTGGACTGTGAAGAAAGCTGAGCGCCGAAAAATTGATGCTTTTGAACTGTGGTGTTGGAGAAGACTCTTGAGAGTCCCTTGGACTGCAAGGAGATCCAACCAGTCCATCCTAAAGGAGATCAGTCCTGGGTGTTCATTGGAAGGACTGATGCTGAAGCTGAAACTCCAATACTTTGGCCACCTGATGTGAAGAACTGACTCATCTGAAAAGACCCTGATTCTGGGAAAGATTGAAGGTGGGAGGGGAAGGGGATGACAGAGGATGAGATGATTGGATGGCATCACCGACTCAGTGGACAGGAGTTTGAGTAAGCTCCGGGAGCTGGTGATGAACAGGGAGGCCTGGCGTGCTGCAGTCCATGGGGTTGCAAATAGTCGGACACCACTGAGCAACTGAACTGAACTGGATTTGATGAAATACTTCACTTACTGACGGGTTTCCCTATCTTGTCAATCTGGTTCCCTTCCCCAAAGGGGAATAACAGTCTACTTAGGGAAGAAGTACAGTCCAATATAGGGCTTCCCTGGTGGCTCAGATGGTAAAGATTCTGCCTAAAGTGTGTGAGACCTGGGTTCAATACCTGGGCCAGGAGGATCCCCTGGAGAAAGAAATGGCAACCTACTTTAGTGTTCTTGCCTGTAAAATCCCATGGACAGAGAAGCCTGGCAGGCTATTTGGGCATTCCAGTCAGCCATGTATGTACAGTTGAATATCCTTTCAGGGCTGACAGGAGGGAGCAAGGTAAAAATTGAGGCCAGTGTCTTGATCCCCAGATTGGAACCAACAGTCCTGGGAGTCTGAGAAGCAGGATGTAGTATCTCCACTATAAACTTGCTTCTTGGGGCATAGACTTAGAAAATGGCAAGCCTCCTGAAGAAACCTCCATGCTATTGGAACAACATGGCACTAGCTGCTAACAAATGGCCAGAGGAGGTATTTGCATGGATGATCTGAGCTCCTGCCCTCTGCTCCACCCCCACCCCCTCACCCCCACCCACAAATCCCGACTTTCTGTGTATCCCAGAAGAAAACTGGAAAAAACTGAGTCAAGGGTGAAAACTCTGTTGAGCAGAGACCTTGAGACCCTAGAATGGAAGGATCCACCTTGCAAGACTGTGGTCCAAGGCAGTCAGGAGCAAATAGGGGTAACCGGATGCTCCTCCCCACTGCCGGGAGGGCACGCGAGCTTCCATTTACACCCAGAAGCCATCTGGGAAGAGAAGCAGGGAGACTTCCTTAATGGGGAGGGAACTCTAACTGGGAGACTGACTTTCAAGTAATTGAATATATCTCTGAAATAAGTGTTTGCCTTTTTAAGTTTGAAGAGACTGAGTAACTGTAATTGGCAAGATTTTTTGTCCTTTATAATAAATGAGAACATAGGATCTGAGTGCAACATGAGCTTTCAATTGAAAATAAACCCATCTTTTTGCTGTACACTTGAACTGTGTGTACATGTTTAATCCTATTACAGTGGATTCTTCTGGAAGCGCATGTGTGCCTGCTAAATCGCTTCAGTTGTGTCTGACTCTTGGCAACCCTATGGACTCTAGGTCACCAGGCTCCTCTGTCCATGGGATTCTCCAAGCAAGAATACTGGAGTGGGTTGCTGTCCCCTCTTCCAAAGGATCTTCCCAATCCAGGGATCAAACCCCCATCTCTTACGTACATCTCCTGCATTGGCGGTCGGGTTCTTTACCACTAGTACCACCTGGGAAGTCCTCATCTGGGAGTAAGATATCTCAAATAATGAAAGTAAACCTGGTTAGAGACAAAACTGGCTCTGGATTTAAGCTGAAGACAGAAATATTTATGGCAGTGTAGGAGGATGAAAAGCCAGAGACGAAATGATCAGAAAAACGGGAAAAGTAGGAGTACTCTTTTAGGAGCAGAGCAGAGAGGGGTGAATGATGGATTCAGTCAAATGCTACAGAATGGTGAGCTCAGCTGAGCCCTAGGAAGGAGCTATTTGATTTCCTGAGAGAGAGCCATTTGAAATCTTTCAAAACTGGCCATCCAGTTTTACCATTTTAAACGCCATCAATTTCATGAGATGTTAGTGTGGAAAAATATGGACTCAAACTCTACTGTCTTACAAATAAGGAAATCTGTAACCAGAGAATTTCAAAAGAACCCAGTTCAAATGATAAATATGAGAAAAAGGAAAAACAAGTAGTTTACATTGGCAGTCAACCAGTCAACCTTATTTTTATGTCAGAAGAAAAATGTGTTGGGTGCAGGCATAAACCCCCCTCTAAGAACAACGAAGAGATTATTTAGGAAACAGAAAAAGTACACGGGAAGGCATCCTGAGAAGCAAACACTCTGACAGATGTTGGATGTGTTTTCCTTTTTTTATTAGAGAAGTTGGAAGTTTAATTTCAATATTGATGGTAACATAATTCTCTGTTTTATTCAGAGGAACACACAGAATCAATCTGTACAAGCATATACAACAATCCGGTTGGTGGTCTGGTGCCCTAAATCAGTAATCTGATTAGTTCTTGAGTACGGTTTCCATGCGCTCCTCTGGGCATTGGGCACAGCTCCATCCCAAGAGGGACTTTTCCATGCACTGTCTGCCACACAACTACAGCAGGCTTAAAGACCATGCAGGTTAACACTGTAGCAAATTGTTTTGATATTTAACAGACATAAAAAGGTTATTTCCTGATATGAAATTCTGAAAATCTGCATAAATATTTTTTGTGTAAAATTAAATTAGTTATGTATTTTTTTTGAAACTAGAACTTGAAGTATCAAGAATGCCCACATAGTTCATATACACATATATATAGACTTTTTCATTATGCTAAAAGTCTTTAGAGTCAAATTATATTCTGTGCCATACAGTTACTTAACCAGTATTTATTTGCATTAGGTTAACTGTGTACAGATTAGTCATAATTGGTGCTTGTGTATCATGCAAACATAGTTCTAGTATTCCTGTTCACTAATCTTGTCATGTGGCAATACTTACATGATTTTGCTCTCTGACAGTGTGAATTAGGAGCATAAATACTTTTTACATGGTCACATTTACAAACGGTTGCCAATAACCACTTCACAATCTTCATGGTGTAGAAGTGAGCTGTAGTAATCTAGGGTCAGCAGAAGCAATTCCTAGGAAGCAATGTCAGATGTCAGCTTCTTAAATGTGCCTGAGAGTTCTCCCTGTGAGCACAGTGGGTTTTGGCACAAGGACTCGGTTCTATTTTTCTGCTGTTCTAAGCATTTCCATGACTTGCAGTCAATTAGCTTCGGATGGCATGGTGGAGACATGGCACTTACTGATGAGGTAACTCAGATGTAGAAAAATTCCCCCCCCCCTAATTATTTGTCTAGCAGCTCATCACTGCTGCTAATAAATTTGTAGAGTTCTGCTCCCCCCACCCCAGGGCAGGTGCTTGCTATTACATGGCTAATGCACTACTTTTGCTGCTGCTCAAACATGTCTTAATGCATCACAAAGCAGAGTTTTTAACACCATGCTCATTTACTTGTGATGATATTTTCTAGCAAACATGTTGAAGTGGTATGATCAACGGGTAAACTCTGCCTTACTGGAGTCGCAATTTTGGGGGATTTGTAACTACTTTTGGTTGGCCAAGGAAATTCAGTGTTCAGAATGTTTAAGAGAAGCAAGTCTCTGTGGTCTCAGGTGACACTTTGTCTACGTGAGAAGGAAACGCAGAAGACATCAGCTTTCTTCCATGGAATCTGTGTTCAGAAGCTGGGAGGGGTGCTCTTTGACGTGGCGGTTCTGTGGTTTCAGTTTGTGTCCTGGAGTTTCACACAACTGTTGCTGGTCTGCGGTCCATCTCGGCTTCCAATTTCACCATCTGCTGCATCTCCTTCGCCTGTAACATCAGAAACAAGACCTTACATGTTGAAATCCTCTCCTGAAGACATGCAGCAAAACCCCACCTCTCTTTTCCCTTGAATTTGATGCTTGTCACTATGTCCTGGCTACTTAAAAGTGTGGTCCACAGACCAGCACCATCAGCATTGCCTGGGATCTTGTGAGAAATGCAGAATCTTGGACTCCACCCCCACCCTTCTGACCCAGAGTCTGCATTTTAGTAAGATCCCCAGGGAATTTTTATGCATGTTAAATTCTGAGAAGGAATGGTCCACACAGTACCAGGAAAACAACTGGAAAAGAAGCTACACCTGTCACTTGTAGAGTATGTCATTTCTAACTGTTTGATTTAGTTTCCACAGACTGACATGCCTTGACTGTGTGTAGATAATTTGATCACTTTTAGAATAAGCATTGCTTATGCACAATTTATTCCCCAAATAGCTTGAAATTTAATTAAAAGTGACTGTCTAAGAATCTCACGGATGGAGAAGTTTGGGTGGAAGTCTACTACATTGATTTGGTTGGAGTATGCTGTGGACAGAATGTTACACATATATGTAGGGCTCCTGGAAGGCTACGTCCAAAAAAGTCTCCTTACAGGCTTTTACTTCTCTGGAGCAATTCAGCTTTTACAGTCCACCCCAGGAAGTAAGCTACAATGGACTGAATCGAATGAATTAAGGCTGTCAAGAAGACAACCAGCTGATTTGAGAGGTGGAAAGGCGTCAGATGGGGACAGGTTCTGGTGACAAATCACTGCCTGGCAATATAGGGAAAAATCAATTGGTTCATTTTAAGTTTTACTTTCCGACCATGTGCTTTTCTTCTAACCCAAAGCATGTATATTTTGGAGAAAAAATAAAGCATTCCTGTCCTCTTTCAGTGACAGATCACTTTGAAATAAAGGACATTTTAAAATGGAAACATGGATATATAAAGATATAACTTGGAGGAGGACTCTGATGAGCTCCGATGTTACTATTCATGTCGACTTAGGTATTCCAACTAAATGGAAGGTCAGTGGGAGGATTTAGTCAACTCTGCAGATCATCCTATGAGCATCAAAATGTCCCAAATGAAGTCCTGCTATGAAATTAGTTTAACCCACAGACCACAGAGTGATCTCCTTCTTATTGTTATTTTTAGATTGTGGCTTTAAATTTCATTTTGGTGAGGATGGATATAAAAACACCAAAGATAATAATTTTCTGCTTACATTTAGGATGGATGGCTCCCACTCCCCAGATTTTTTTTTTTTTTAATGCCTGAAACCTACTAATGCTCTAATAGAAAAATGAAGAAATGGAGAAAATACACGAACATGAAACTATGACACAAACAGTATTTATAAGAGATGACAGTGAAATATTATCAGCACTGGAAATTAAATGCTCTTATGTTCAGTAAATAGTAATAAAGGATTCCCTCTGCTTCTTTCCCTCTAGCATTAAGGACAATATCAAACATGTTTTAGAGAGAAGGATCATATTAATAGTACAGGAGGATTCCAAGAGCCAGGTTCTCATATGAGCAGGGTGACCATTCATGCTCATTTATCAGGACAGTTCCAATTTATGCCTATGGTCCTGGCTATTATGAACAACGTCCCCTTTCACTTTCAAAGCTATTCTGTTTGAATGCTAAATCATATGGTCACCGTATTTATAAGGGGTGATTAGGTTCCCTGGCAGACTGGTTCTAACAGAAAGCATGACAACAATCATTGTACAATGATGCTGTATAATGTGCTTGCATGCAGACCATAACCGTCTGTTACTAAAAACCACAAATCAGCTTTTACCAGGTGCTTCAAAAATTAATGGCAGTCATATTAATGTTTGTAAAAGATCTGACTCTGTGACCCAGTTTCAGCTGTGATTGGTCCTTTGGACCACTGTATATCACTTTTTTCAGTGACTGGGTATGTCTTCATCAGCATGATTTGAGATTCCTAGGTCTGCAACTGGAAAGGATGCTAAAACGCCATCAGAAATAATTCTCTCAAGACGCTGGGCATTTCAGTTTGAATTGTACATCAGAAATCCAAGCATCAAATAGTCAAATTTTTCAATCAAACCCTTGCAATCTTAACTAGACAAGAGCAGATGTGAATCGTCAAAGCACCAAGAATACGAGCGCAGTTGAGCAGGAAGGCAATATCTTGCTTATCAGAATTTTCAGTCCTACCTTGCGTTTGGGACACTGCATGACAGGATTTCAAAAGCTGTTTGTACAAAAATAGTAATGTCAAAATTGAGTCATACATACAAAACAAAGAAAATAAATGAATACTGACGTGAATTTGAAAAATGAATGCAAAACCATATACAGAAAAGCAAAAGGCTAAGAATAAAACATGTATAGAACCATCAGCAACAAACTTACCCCAGGTCGATTTCAACAGAAACAAAAGAACAAAAGTGACCAATGCCTCTCAGCCCAGACTGCACCTCTCCCGTGGGGTGAGACCCTCACCTCTCTTCATTAAATGATAGGACTGATGACAAAAACCAACTTTTAAAACTTGGGTATGACAGTAATGGAGCATTCCATGTTTGAAATGGTGCATGTCAAGACAGATGAACTCATGTATGGCTGGGAGATCTATGGGAAATAGTAGGGAAAAAAAATCCCCATCCTTCGGAGTTTTAAATGAATAATTGGCCAGCCAAGCAGGCAAAGCCATAGAAAGGACATAGGAGGTTAGGATTCAGAGTCAGGACCCAAATAGATTAAAACTTGAGTTGTTTCTGCCAGTGCCCTCAACACTGTCTAACTAATGAAGTAGATGATTCCAGGCTTTGCTTTGGGGCAACTGGAAATATTTATAGGATAATGGTTACAGGAAAACAGTAAGAAACTTTAAAGGGAGATATTACTGCAGAATGTTAAAACTAATTTATTTTTGGCTCAGAAATGAACAAAAAAAAGTCTTGGGGTTTAATGGTAGTTTGGGAGATTGTTATACAAGTTTGGGATTGTCTGGAGACAGGAAACTGTTTTCTGTCAATGAAATTCTGAATTGAGTTGCATCTTCCTGACCCAGGGATCGAACCTGGGTCTCCTGCATTGCAGGCGGATCCTTAACCACTCAGCCACCAAATAGGTTATAGGGGGAGCTCTCCAGATGGTTCCAGACCTCACCTAATATGGGAGAAGAAATAGAGCTGCAGGATCTTTTGCACTGCGCCAAGACAGTGTTGAACCGTATGTAGCAACTGAATTGAGAGGTGTTCAATCTTTAGATTCCCCCTCTAAAAGTACACTAGAAAATATCTGGGATTGAATTCATTACAGAATGGGCCATATTTGTAAAGCAAAGCCGAACACAGAAATTCAAGTCCAAATTCCACACTTGCTGGAAGCATCAATATACCTTGAATTTCTTTTCATGGAATCTCATTAAACCGTCACCAAATCTCAAGCCTTCTTTCCTAAGCTTCTGTGATTCAAAGTATCAGGTGTGGGTGGTAGGCATTACCTGTGACCCCTTGAAAGAAGTCACCATCCTCCCAGTAAGATCCAGTCAATACCATTATCATTAATCCAATATCTCAGTGCAAAAATTCAGGTGTGATTTGAGTTAGACATGTATTAGGATAAAAAGCCAAAGTGATTTTTAAATTGTGTACTTTAGCTCTGAAACTAAAAACACTAGGTATTCTCTAGCTCTGATATATACCACTATTGTAATGATGAGCAATTTTTAGCACATTTATATTCTTTAGTCAAACTTGTTGCTAAGCAACACAGGGGTTTCTAAGTGGTTTCTTAATTTAGTTAACTGACACATAGCTGCATCTTACCGTCATTGTGCCTTCTTCTCAGGCATCCCTACCCCGACCCAGTGCTGAGTCACTGAAGTGGATTCTAAAGTTTTGGAAACAGTGGCTATTCCCTTACCCATTCCCCTCACCCTCCAGAAACACTTTCTGAGAAACGGCTTTGAGAGCAAAAACAGTTATGTAACTTGTACTAGAAGGCGCTGTGTCTATGGACTGGTCAAATGAGTGGGACAGTAAACACTTATTGTCCACCTTGGGGATCTGTGGGCTATTCATGAATAGAAGCATTTAGCTGGAAAAGAAATGGGAAACATAACTTAGGAGAATGCTGATGAATAAAACTTCTATCAACCAAAAAGCAAAGGATATGAAATCAGAAGTTGGATTTATTTGTTACTCAATTGCAATACAAAAAAACCCCCCCTGATTTTACTGTTTTACTTTCTCAAAAGTACTTTTTAGTGTAATTTCCACTTAAGTTTTCTTCAATGGAAGCCATTTACTCTAAAAAAAAAAAAATACCTTAAATAGGATTACTTAATATATGAAAGGAAACAGGAAAGATTAATGCAGTACAAGTACAGATTTCAGTAAAACCTCTTTACTATTTCCAGATTGAAGTAAATTATCTAGAAATAATAACTTCCAAACCAACTACACATGAAGAGGTGTATTTGGACTGAGATAGACTGAAATTTTAACTGCTACTGAGGGTCATTGTGCCATGGAAGCTAGAGGTATTTCCATCCAATTGAAATGAGACTGTGGATGGCCAGTGGGTTGCAGCCCAACTATCTGAACTCCACTTGAGGCAAACACACATTCATCTTGATGTTGGTACATACGTGACAGCTCCTGAATAGCTGGATTTTGGAGACTCTTTTTATCTGTGTATATTCTAATTTAGTGTTTAACACTAAGAGTATGCTACCCACTCACATTCAGTGGTTTCTAGAATTACGGTAGTTCATGCGTTTAGCTTTGGCTTGTAAGTCCTGAGAAGGTTTTATAATTTCATTTTTAGATTGAGGTTGAAAATAGGTTTTATAATTTCATTTTTAGATTGAGGTTGAAATGAAAAATTTCATTTTTCTCATTTGCTTTTAAATACAATATCATTTGTCTCTAGGGTACAAGTGATATAACTCCACACAAAAATGGAGAAGTAACTTATAATCTGTTTTCTCCTCCTCTCAGGAACGTCCTTTTTAAAATCCCCATCATCTAATCAAATTTTGATTCTTTTTTTCTCCACAGCCACATTCCTCTCCCACTTCAAAAAAAGTACTTTCTGTTCTTGTTGGATGAAAAGGGGAAAGTGTAGTAATGGCACCAAATTTTTCTAGCCACCTTTCTGTGCCACTATGCAGGCCACTGGCTTTAGCAGAAGGGTGACTGTGGGCCATGGCATTTGCCTCCTGAAGCTGGTTGGCTGCCTACATCTTTTTATGCTTTTTAAGTGAAATACCTGCTCATTCTGTTTCTCTAGGAATTCGAGGTGCTCAAGCTGGACTTTTTTCAACTGATCCATTTCTTTGGACTGCTTCATGGCAAGCTGCAAAGCAAAACAAAACACCTCTGATCAACTTTGGGTTGTAACCTTAAAACTTATGGATGAGGGTTGGTAGTTTGCAGTTTAAGAGAAAGATATAAAAATAATAAAAAAAAGAAGAAAGAAAATAGCCTGAAAACCGGGAGAATTTAAACCCCATAATTTTTACTGGTAAGACAGTTGCTGCCAAAATCTTAGAAAAGAAAAGAGTATTTGTGCATGATTAAAATTTGGCTTCATTTTCTGTATAAAATGGTACCAAACAATTACTTTAAAGATTTTAGTGAGAGATTAGCTTTCAGGGAGAAGAGAAGAGAAGCTAGAATATTTAGCATACAGGAAAATCAAATTAAGCAAGTTAGCTAGAAGTCTGAAATCTAAGCATGAGCTACTATTTAGTTTTTTTCAAAGAAAAAGTGCTAAGAAAATTAGGATACTTACTCGCTTTCTTTCTTCCAGAAACTTTTTCGTGTTGCTGCTGTTTAACTCCCTCACTCTCCTAAAAGCAAAGGTGCGAACAAGAGTTGGTATGTCACTGGATGGAATTGATATTAAGTAAGAAAAGTCATATTTCATTTAATTATTTGGATGAGATTATACTTGCTTTTCCTAATTTTTTGAGGGATTTTGAAATATACAATGTACAGAGAAAAAAACACAAAACATCCGTGTATCCATCACTCAGACTAGTCATGTTTTATCACCCTGTCTCATATTTTTAAAGGAAATAAAAGTGCTGCAAATATAAACAAAGCCTCCTTTGTATTTTTCTGGACTCTATTTCCCCTCTTTCTCTCTCTCCAGAGGTAATCACTATTCTGAATTTTGGTGTTCCCATCAATCAAGATAGGCGGAAGAAACATCAACAGCCTCAGATATGCAGATGATACCACCCCAATGGCAAAGCGAAGAGGAACTAAAGAGCCTTTTGATGAGGGTGAAGGAGGAGTGTGGAAGAGCTGGCTTAAAACTAAATATTAAAAAAACTAAGATCGTGGCCTCCAGCCCCATTACTTCACGGCAAATAGAAGGGGAAATGTTGGAAGTAGTGACAGATTTCCTCTTCTTGGGTTCTAAAATCACTAAGGATGGTGACTGCAGCCATGAAAACACAAGATGACTGCTTCCTGGCAGGAAAGCGATGACAGGCCTAGACGGTGTGTAGAAAAGCAGAGACAATACTCTGCTGACAAAGGTCTGTATAGTCAAGGCTATGGTCGTCCCAGTGGTCAGTTACGGTTCTGAGAGCTGGACCCTAAAGAAGACAGAACGTCAAAGAACTGATGTCTTCCAACTGTGGTGCTGGAGAAGATTCCTTGGACAGCAAGGAGATCAAAGCAGTGAATCTTATGGGAAATCAACATGAATACTCATTGGAATGACTGATGCTGAAGCTGAAGCTCCAGTATTTCGGTCACCTGATATGAATTCATTTGAAAAGTCCCTGATGCTGGGAAAGACTGAGGGCAGAGAGGGCGTCAGAGGATGAGATGGCTGGATGGCATCACCGATGCAATGGAGATGAACTTGGGCAAACTTTGGGAGATGGTGAGGGACAGGGAGGCCTGGTGTGCTGCAGTCCATGGGGTCACAAAGAGTCAAACAAGACTGGGTGACTGAACAGCAACAAATCTGTGTTTTAATATTTTTACTACTTATAGATGTATCTGTATGTAATATACACAAATGTGTCTTAAACTTTCATATGCATACAAATCACCTCTATCACACATGCATACATACATACATATTTGTATCATACATACATACAATAACCTCTATCAAATATACAGGTTGTTGGGCCCACTCCTAGAGGGTCTCATTCAGTGGGTCTGGGGTAGGCCTGAGATTCTGCATTTCTAAAAAGCTCCCAGGTGATGTAACTATATATATATAATTTTGTATGGTTTCCAACTTAACCTAACATATTCTGTGTTTTTTTTGATAACTTGTCACTTAGATTTATGATTTAGAGATATAACTATGTTTCAAATAATTCCATTATTTTCACCAGCTGTATGGATTTTTCCATTTATGGAAAATTTTGACTACGATATTTTCATGTTGCTGTTAATAACAAGTAGGTTTTTATTTGCCAACAATGCACAATGGTCTGGCGCATAGGGTCTTGCAATGCTTGGCCCACTGTCTGTTGGCTAAATAAATGAAGTATAGGACATACCTTCTCGTGTATATAAGCAAAGGTTTCTCCAGGGGGTAAATCTAGGCTTGCAGGTTGGTAGCGAGTGAACAACCTCATCTTAACTCCAAAGTACTTATCCCAGTTTGCACTCCCATCCATAGTGTCTGGGTGCTACTCTTTCTCCGTATCTTCATCCCCTCTTGTTACTGTCAGACATTCCCTTTTCTGTTGGTTGGCTGGCTTTCTGAAATGGCATCATGCTGCTGCTGTAGCTCATGTTTCCTGGATTACTGGTGAGGGAGAGTGTTTTTCAAGCCTGAACAGGCCTATAACTGCTTGAGTTTTTATAATAGTTATAGGTCTATTAAGGTTTTCTCTTTCTTTTACAGCCAGTTTGTGTATTTTAGTTTTTTTAAGCAATTGTCATTTCATCTGAGTTTTCAGATTCATTTGTAGTATTGTTTATAGTCTTGGTTTTCAAAAATATTTACTTCAGTATGTTCAGTTATTTCTCTTTTTATATCTAATGTTACTAATTAGAGCTTTTTCCTTCTTCTTGATCAGCCTTGCTGGAGGTTCACTTATTCATTCTTTTTCCAAATAACAAGCTTTTGGTGTTACTCTCCACTGATTTTTGTTTTCTATTTCAATACTTTTGCTTCTTAAACTTTTATTTCTTCCCATCTGAGATCTTTGGGTTCAGTTTATTTCTCTAATTTTATGCCCTCTTTGAGCATTTTTCTCTTAATTTTCATTAAAAAAAGAAAATATATATATATATATAGCTAGGCTATAATTTTCACTGTAAATATCACTTTAAGATCTATTCTGTTAGCAACTTTGAAGTATGTATTACTGTATTGTGAAAAATAGTCACCATGCTGAAGTTGGATTCCTAAAGCTTATTAATCTTATAACTGCAAGTTTGTAGCTTTTAACTAACATCTCTCCATTTCCCTACCCCTAAACCCTGGTAATCACCAATCTACCCTGTATTTATGAATTTGGCCTTTTTTAGGGTCCACAAATAGATAGCATTTTTCTTTCCCTGATTTATTTCACTCAGCATAATGTTCTCAGAGATCCATGTTGTCCCAAATAGCAGTATTTTCTTCTTCTTATGGCTAAATGACATTTCATTGTATATACATCTCAAGCTTTCTTTAACCATTCACTTAAACACTTAGGTTGTCTGCTGCCTTGGCTGTTGTGAATAATCCTGTGATGACCGTGGGGATGCAGACAGGTCTTCCAGATAGTGTTTTCATTTCCTTTGGCTATATACCCACAAGTGGAATCACTGGATCAAATGGTAGTTCTACTTTTAATTTTTTGAGGAACACCCTCAGTATTACTTCCCACAGTGGCACTGCCAAACCCACCAACAGTACACAAGGGTCCCCTTTTCTCCACATCCTTGCCAACACATATTATCTACTGAATTTTTGATAACAGCCATTCTAACAGATGTTGAAGTCATGTCTTATTGTGGTTTTAATTTGCATTCCCTGGTGATTAGTGAAGTTGAGCACCTTTTCACATACGTGTTGGCCATTTGCATGTCTTCTTTAGAAAAATGTCTCTTTTTTTTGTCTTTTGAAAAATGTCTATTTCAGGTCCTCTGCCCACTTAAAAACATATTTTCCCCAAACATTTAAAAAATGTATCTATTCATTTATGGCTGAGCTGGGTCTTCCCTGCTGCATGTGGATCTTCACTCCTTGCAGCAAGCAGGGGCTCCTCTAGTTGCAGTGCACGGGCTTCTTCTTGTGGGGGCTTCTCTTGCAGGGGGCACGGGCTCTAGGGCTCAGGGGCTTCGGTAGTTGTGGAGCACCAGCTTAGTTGCCGTGAAGCATGTGGAATCTACCCAGACCAGCGATCGAACCCATGTCTCCTACATTGGCAGGCGGACTCTTAACCATTGGACAACCAATGAAGTTCCTAAGCCCACTTTTAAAATCAGATTTGTTTTTGCTATTGGTTTATTTGAGTTATTTACATATTGTGAATATTAATCTGTTACCTGACATATGTTTGCAAATATTTTCTCCCATTTGGGAGGCCACCTCTTTATTTTGCTGATTATTTATTTCTCTTTCTGTGTACTTTGGCTACCTCTGACACGCTGATAAAGTGCATTGTCATTCAGTTACAAATATAATGTCATTTATGTTGAAATGTCTTCTTAGACACAAGATAGAAGTGTTTTTCAGTTTCTGTATGTCTTTCTTAGCTCTCTGATTATAAATATTTAATTTTATTTCTCAGTGGTTTGATAAGGTGGATACACACAATATATGCTTTAAAAAAGTAACTATTTGGCATAGAGAAATCATTTTTTAAAAACCAGGTCTTTTGTAGATGTTTTAGAATCACCTAACCACTGGATACAGAGTTATAATAAATAAGTATGTAGAGTTGAAATAAGAAAATTAAATAAAAAATTTTCTGGTTATTAGTAACTCATAATTTAAGACAATTTGACCTCAACTGGACTGAAGTCCACTTTGCAACATATTTGAAAAAAATAGGACAAAGAGCTATTTAACAATTAGTATATTTTCAGACTGAATTCTGTATTTCAACTTTGGACAGTCTAAAACAGTTTAACAAGGTTTTTTATCATGGCATGAATATTTTATGTTTATGAGCTAGAGTGGATGATGTCCTTTCCACGTATACAAGGCCATTAAACAAAGTTCCTTGTCTGAGAATAATGTCCAGAGGATGGTACTTCATTGGAAATGACATTCAGTTGTGTATGTGTCTGGTGGTGAAAGTAAAGTCTGATGCTATAAAGAACAATATTTCATAGGAACCTAGAATTTTAGGTCCATGAGTGAAGGTAAATTGAACATGGTCAAGCAGGATATGGCAAGACTGAACATGTTAGGAATCAGTGAACTAAAATGGACGGGAAAGGGTGAATTTAATTCAGATGGCCATTACATCTACTACTGTGGACAAGAATCCCTTAGGAGAAATGGAGTAGCCCTCATAGTCAGTAAGAGTCTGAAAGGCAGTACTTGTGAGCAATCTCAAAAATGACAGAATAATCTCAGTTCATTTCCAAGGCGAATCATTCAAAGTCATAGCAATCCAAGTCTATGCCCCAACCACTAATGTGGAAGAAGCTTAAGTTGACCAATTCCAGGAAGACCTACAAGACTTTCTGGAACTAACACACACACACACACACACACAAAGATGTCCTTTTCATCATAGGGGACTGAAATGCAAAAGTAGGAACTCAAGAGATACCAGGAGTAACTGGCAAGTTTGGCCTTGGAGTATAAAATGAAGCAGGGCAAAGGCTAACAGAATTTGGTCAAGAGAACACACTGATCAGAGCAAATACCCTTTTTTCAGCAATGCAGGAGATGACTCTATACATGGACATCATCAAATGATCAACACCAAAATCAGATTGATTATATTCTTTGCAGCCAAACATGGAAAAGCTCTACACAGTCAGCAAAAACGACCTGGAGCTGACTATGGCCCAGATTATGAGCTCCTTGTTGCAAAATACAGGCTTAAATGGAAGAAAGGAGGGAAAACCACCAGGTCATTCAGGAATGAGAGTGAAAGTCAAAGTCTCTCAGTCATGTCTGACTCTTTGCGACCCCATGGACTATACAGCCCATGGAATTCTCCAGGCCAGAATACTGGAGTGGGTGGCCTTTCCCTTCTCCAGGGGATCTTCCCAACCCAGGGATCAAACCCAGGTCTCCCACATTGCAGCCAGATTCTTGACCAGCTGAGCCACAAGGGAAGCCCAAGAAGACTGAAGCAGGTGGCCTGTCCCTTCTCCAGTGGATGTTCCCGACCCAGGAATTGAACCAGGGTCTCATGCATTGGAGGTGGATTCTTTACCCACTGAGCTACCAGGGAAGCCAAGATCAGTCAGTCAGTCAGTCAGTCATACATATGCGTATTTCCTCCCTTTCGGGCTTCCTTCCCATTCAGGCCACCGCAGTGCATTGAGCAGAGCTCACTCTGCCATACGGTTGCTTGCTTAGCTGCTCAGTCATGTCCGACTCTTTGCAATGCTTTGAGCTATAGCCTTCCAGGAGCCGAGCCCAGGTCTCCTGCATGGCAGGTGGATTCTTTACCAACTGAATATTCAGGTGTGTCTAAATCAAATCCCTTATGATTGTACAGAGGAGGTGGTGAACAGATTCAAGGGACTAGATCTGGTAGACAGAGTGCCTGAAGACCTGTGGACAGAAGCCCGTAACACTGTACAGAAGAAAATGACAAAATGCCAAATGCAGGAGATGACTCTACACATGGACATCATCAAATGATCAACACCAAAATCAGATTGATTATATTCTTTGCAGCCAAACATGGAAAAGCTCTACACAGTCAGCAAAAACGACCTGGAGCTGACTATGGCCCAGATTATGAGCTCCTTGTTGCAAAATACAGGCTTAAATGGAAGAAAGGAGGGAAAACCACCAGGTCATTCAGGAATGAGAGTGAAAGTCAAAGTCTCTCAGTCATGTCTGACTCTTTGCGACCCCATGGACTATACAGCCCATGGAATTCTCCAGGCCAGAATACTGGAGTGGGTGGCCTTTCCCTTCTCCAGGGGATCTTCCCAACCCAGGGATCAAACCCAGGTCTCCCACATTGCAGCCAGATTCTTGACCAGCTGAGCCACAAGGGAAGCCCAAGAAGACTGAAGCAGGTGGCCTGTCCCTTCTCCAGTGGATGTTCCCGACCCAGGAATTGAACCAGGGTCTCATGCATTGGAGGTGGATTCTTTACCCACTGAGCTACCAGGGAAGCCAAGATCAGTCAGTCAGTCAGTCAGTCATACATATGCGTATTTCCTCCCTTTCGGGCTTCCTTCCCATTCAGGCCACCGCAGTGCATTGAGCAGAGCTCACTCTGCCATACAGCTGCTTGCTTAGCTGCTCAGTCATGTCCGACTCTTTGCAATGCTTTGAGCTATAGCCTTCCAGGAGCCGAGCCCAGGTCTCCTGCATGGCAGGTGGATTCTTTACCAACTGAATATTCAGGTGTGTCTAAATCAAATCCCTTATGATTGTACAGAGGAGGTGGTGAACAGATTCAAGGGACTAGATCTGGTAGACAGAGTGCCTGAAGACCTGTGGACAGAAGCCCGTAACACTGTACAGAAGAAAATGACAAAATGCCATCCCCCAAAGGACAAAATGCAAGAAGGCAAAGTGGCTGTCTGAGGAGGCTTTACAAATAGCTGAGGAAAGAAGAGAAGTGAAAGGCAAAGGAGAAAGGGAAAGACATACTCAACTGAATACAGAGTTCCAGAAACAGCAAGGAGACTTAAGAAGGCCTTCTGAAATGAACAATGCAAAGAAATAGAGAAAAACAACAGAATGGGAAAGACTAGAGATCTCTTCAGGAAAACTGGAGATGTCAAGGGAACATTTCATGCAAAGATGGGCACAGTATAGGACAGAAACAGAAAGGACCTAACAGAAGCATAAGAGATTAACAACAGGTGGCAACAATACACAGAGGAACTGTACAAAAAAGGTCTTAATGACCCAGATAACCATGATGGTGTGATCACTCGGCTAGAGCCAGATATCCTGCAGCATGAAGTCAAGTGGGCCTTGGGAAGATTTACTACGAACAAAGCTACTGGAGGTGACGAAATTCCAGCTGAACTATTTCAAATCCTAAAGATGCTGTTAAAGTGCTGCACTCAATATGCCAGCAAATTTGGAAAACTCAGCAGTGGCCACAGGACTGGAAAAGATCATTTTTCATTCCAATCCCAAAGAAGCACAATGTCAAAGAATGTTCAAACTACCGCACAGTTGCACTTATTTCACATGCTAGCAAGGTAATGCTCAAATTCCTTCAGGCCAGGCTTCAGCAATATGTGAACTGAGAACTTCCAGATGTACAAGCCACATTTAGAAAAGGCAGGGGAACTGGGGATCAAATTGCCGACATTTCTTGGATCATAGAGAAAGCAAGAGAATTCCAGAAAAACATCTACTTCTGCTTATGCTAAAGCCTTTGACTGTGTGGATAACCACAAACTGTAGAAAATTCTTCAAGAGATGGAAACTGGACCACCTTACCTGCCTCCTGAGAAACCGGTATGTGGATCAAGAAGCAACAGCTAGAACCAGACATGGAAGAAATGACTGGTTCAAAATTGGGAAAGGAGTACATCAAGGCTATATATTGTCACCTTTCTTATTTAACTTCTATGCAGAGTACACCATGCTAAATGCCACGGTGGATGAATCACGAGCTGGAATCAAGATTGCTGGGAGAAATATCAACACCCTCAGATATGTAGATGATAACACTCAAATGGCAGAAAATGATGAGCAACTAAAGAGACTCTTAATAAGGGTGAAAGAGAAGAGTAAAAAAGCTGGCTTAAAACTCAACATTCAACAAACTAAGATCATGGTATCTGGTCCCATCACTTTGTGGCAAATAGAAGGGGAAAAAAGTAGAAGCAGTGACAGATTTTTCTTGCACTCCAAATTCACTGAGGATGGTGATTTTAGCCATGAAATTAAAACATACTTGCTCCTTGGAAGGAAATCTATGACAAACCTGGATAGCATATTAAAAAGCAGAGATATTACTTTGTTGACAAAGGTCTGTATAGTCAAAGCTGTGGTTTTTCTAGTAGTGATGTACAGATGTGAGAGCTGGATCATAAAGAAGGCTGAGTGTCAAAGAACTGATGCTTTCAAATTTGGTGCTGGAGAAGACTCATGAGAGTCTTTTGAACTACAAGGAGATCAAACCGGTCAACCCTAGAGGAAATCAACCCTCCATATTATTTGGAAGGACTGGTGCTGAAGCTTAAGCTCCAATTCTTTGGTCACATGATGCAAGAGCTGACTTATTGGAAAGACCCATTGGAAAATGGGAAAGATTGAAGTCAAAAGGAGAAAGGAGCACCAGACGATGAGATGGTTAGTTAGCATCACCAACTCCATGGACACGAATTTGAGCAAAATCAGGGAGATAGTGAAGGACAGAGGAAGCTGGTGTGCTGCATTCCATGGGGTTGCAAAGAGTCAGACACCAGTTAGTGACTGAACAATAACAAGATAACTATGCCAATATGATGGTGCAGAAGAGCACTGAATAAATTGAGTAATAATCTCCTTAAAGAGAAACAAATGACACTCCATGTTTATTGGGAAATTTCTTGTCCAAAGTGTTGAAAAGGTGATTTCTTTCCAGGTTAAGTTTCAGTGGAATTCCAATCCCACTGCTGGCCTGTTAATTCCAAACTGTATTTAATCCAACAAAACTTTAGCATAAAAATGCACCGGATGGTAATACGCTTTATATTCTGTCAACTTGAAACGTGGGAAATGCACTGGGTATCAACTGCTGCTAACTCCCTCTCTAGGGGCCCATGACTAGCAATGTCCTCTTAGGTCTCCTTTACCAGCCTTGGCTAAAGCACTGAACCTCTGATCTTCTCTGGACATCACACAAACATTCTCCAACTCTATGTGGCCAAGGACGGATTAACACAGAAGTACAAGAGCCACGTGCCCACGGCTCAAAGGAGCAGATCATGGTCATTTACACGCCAGAGCTGGGATTAGGCTTCAGAGGAACTCTAGCTGAGATCCTAGCCTTGCTTAGCCCCTGCCCTGGCCCTCTCCTGCTTCCTCCTCTCTGCCCTGCTGAAGATCCTTTCCTCAGCAAATCATATGACCCAAAGTCCTATCTTTGTCTCTGTTTCTAGAAAACCCATTCTTAGACAAAGACAAACCAGAAAACCTGAGGGAGGTGATTTGAGATGATCCCTAGTGTCAAGGTCAATACAAGGCCTACAGACTGCAAACGCATTCAGGATAGGCTTAACACCTAAGCAAATAAGATGCTTTCAGGATGACCTAAGCGTCATGTGGGAAGGATATTTTGCCATAATTTATACAATTTTGTTTATGCCATATTTTTGTTTATGCCATATAATTTTGGAGATGAGCACACATATATTGAATGTAAATATGTTTTACTAGTGGTAGTAAGCAATCAGAAGATTTTATAGCAACAATAATATATCTTCCCAGCAGATATAACCACAGGATTCTAAGCCAGCTCTCACAAAGTTTTTTTACATCTCAAATGTGAGTGTGTGTGTACACTGGAGTCAGTATTATGTTCTTGCAGTGAGCATTCCAACTCACCTTTCCCGTTCTGCTTTATTCTTGATGGATTTATCTTGGCTGATGGCTTTGCTGTTTTCCATAGAAATCTTAGCTTGCTGTGCTCGCATCTCTTTGCTTTCCCTGTGTGTTAAAATAAAAACAAAGCCAGGAAGTGATCATTTTGTAATGTACAGACATCGAATCACTATGTTGTACACCAGGAACTAACACAGTCTTGTAGGCCAATTATGCTTAAACAAACAAACAAACAAACTCACAGAGAGAGAGAGATCAGATTCGTGGTTTCCAGAGGCAGGGTTGAGGGGAAGGGAAGTTGGATAAAGGTGGTCAAAAAGTACAGACTTCCTGTGAAGTCACTAAGTTGTATCCCGACTCTTCGGACCCCGTGGACTGTAGCCCACTAGGACCCTCTGTCCATGGGGTTTCCTCGGCAAGAAGATTGGAATGGGTTGCCATTTCCTTCTCCAGGGGATCTTCCTGACCCAGAGATCTAACTCACATCTGCTTGTCAGGTAGATTCTCTACCACTGAGCCACCTGGAACAAACTTCCAATTATATGATAAATAAGCACCAGGGATGTAACGTACAATGTGATGAAGTTGTATGTTATGTAAACATGAAAGTTGTTAAGACAGTAAATCCTACAAGTTCTCTTACAAGGAAAAATATTTTTTCTTTTATTTTGTATCTCTATGAGATGATGGAAGTTCACAAAACTTATTGTAATCATTTCATGATATATGCATGCCAAAGCACTATGGTGTGGAGCTTAAACCATACAGTGCTGTATATCCATTACACCTCAGTAAAACTGCAAGGAAGAAAAAGACACCTGGGGAGTAGAGAGTGAGTGTTCAGTAGGTAGAGTTTCAGTTGGAGGAGATGATAAAGTTCTGGAGCTGGATGGTAGTGACCGACGGTTATAATAGTGTGAATACACCTTATGCTACACACTTACAAACAGTTGACATAGTAAATTTTGTGTTGTGGATCTTTAACTCTAATTAAAAACATAAACAAAAAACAGATTTCATATGTGACAACAGGACTGGGTTCACTTTTTATCTCATTATCGAGATCATGAAGTTGTCTTGCATTGTGAGGAGGCGGGCAGGAGCCCCAGTCCACATGCATGCCTCTCCTGGGGGCAGCGGGGCACTCACTGTGAAGTGTCAGCGGTGGGCTGCGAAGAAGAGACACGATGTGTGTCTAACGTAACCCCAACCACATGATGAGCCTATACAGCTGCCCGGAGTAGGACACTGTCGTTAAGTCATCAACATGCCAGATGCATTCTGAATAAATAAAAGCTACAAATCCCAACTTATGTGCAACTATCTCAGGCAATCACGTTTACAAGACTATATGCAAGAAGACGAATGGGAATAGTGAGGACAGAAGGAGAATAATCAAAGAATGCATAGGGACAACCACTCACACTCACAGTCAGTAAAAGACAAGGATTTTCCAGCTTTGTCCCATGCTTTTTGGGGGGATCAGATTGGTTGGAAGAGAAAGCATGTTCTAACACTCACAAATGACTGTCTTGCCTTCTGACAGCCCAGGGGGATGAAGGGGACAAATGATTTCAAATAAACACAGGAAATGGGGGGGGGATGCTTATAGGTGACTGATCACTGTGTGTGAATGGGTATGTGTACCACAAAAACTCATCTCTTTGGACTATTGATGAGTACAAACACACACCATTTAGACTGAAAATGAAAGTATTAACAAAGAATCTTCTCTGGAACCCATGGTGATCTCCTTGGAGCACTGCCCAGAAATGGTCAGGTTCAGTGGTATTTGTACTTTGTGGAAAAGGATGGACAAAACTGAAACAGAGAGGTCTCCAGTCAAGGACTTAGGGCCACAGAAGCTGGAATATGCACAGAAACTCCTGGACCAAGAAATTGGCGCTCAGAATTTTTTATAACTTGTTATTAAATTGACCATCTCTTCATTCATTCATTCAACAGCACTTATCAGTAACCAAATAATGTTGCCAAATGTTAGGAAGGCAATAATTTTTCAACCAAGAACAACAGCTATGACGGTAACAAAGAAACATGACCACACGATACTTAACAAAAAGCTTCAGCGCCGCTGTTACTTTGAAAAACACCCCTACCATGGATCTATTTCTTAAGGTAAATTAGTAATAAGGTTATGGTTCCTTCAAATGACTTCCTAAGTCATGCAAGAATTCATTTACTTTTTTTTTTTCTTCTGGACAATGGGTACTGTTTGGGACAATTTTTTCTCCTTTATTCAACTACAATAAAAGATTAGAAGCGAGTACCTTATTCTTCAAAGCATCTTTGAATAAGGGTGGACATCTAAAATCTGATATTGCAGAAATGGTCAAAGGGAAGAAGATGAACCGACCTTTCTGTGTGCTAAATCAAGAGCATTTCTCGGGAAAAAGGCACTTTTAATCCTATACAAATAAACAGAATACTTTAAAATGGATATGGTATGGTACTTGAGCCCACAAGAAACTCAGCATGACATGCATACCTCATTTAGTTGGCTCATGAGAGAATGAGAAACTACGGCAAAAATACTTCACGTTCTTACGGCTGTGTGTCACTCCATGATGAGCTTTGGAATCTGGGAATGTGCCTACATAACTCACTTCAGAAGTTTAAAGTTTGTTTGTTTGTTTTTATTTGTTTGTAAAATGCTTCTGTTTTATACTTTCTGGTGTGTATCAACAGACCGCCACTGAGGCACACAATTGGCCCTATAGGAGCACGAGCTGCATCCAAGCTGTGATAAAAAGACATCACTGACATAAACACTCTTCTGCCTGGGGAAAAAGTCCAGCTCACCATCTGTAGTGTCTTAAATATGGTAGTTAATGTGCTGAAATAGGGAGAAGCAAAAATAAACAGATACTTTTTGCTATTTCTTGATCAGACCTGCCTTTCTAAAATTTATAGACACCCTGACAGTGGAAAGAAAGGTATCTCTGAGTCATCAGAACCAACCATTCTAGGAGTTCAATTGCTTGGTCTTTATCTCCTTCTGCATCTTTTCTTCCTAAGAGGTTCCAGAGATCATTTCTTAAAAGCCAGATCTGGCCCTATCATCTTGTGAAGCCTCCAGAACCACTCAGAGGCAGCAGAGTCTGTGATAACTTTTAGTCTGTATGGTATGCTACTTGTAATGTGACTTAATTTGTTGTAGGAGTATGATATCTTGCCACCACTTGGAAGCATTTTGATGGTCGAGGCCATTTCTTATAGTTCCTCTTGCCACATCAACTCTATGACAAAGTATACAACAAAGCTCAGTGTTATATGTGAAGTTGATTTTCCTTACTACTTGACACTTGTGCACGCGCGCACACACACACACACACACACACACACACGCTTTAAAGCCTGGGAGCTTCTTCTGGGGCTAAGCCGCCCACCTGTCATGGGACAGTTTCAGCTGCTGGGTCTGCTGCTCGTGGGCGCTGATGAGGAGCTTTCTGAGCAGCTCGCACTGCTGGCTGAGGTGCAGGTCCCGGATCTCCTGCTCCTCCGCACTGTGGGTATTGATCATGTCTGACCACTCCTTCGTGTGCTGTGCCACAATCTCCTTGACCTGTGTGGGGAAAGGGTGGTGCCACCTGGAATTCTCACAAGCACAGGAGCTAAAAGCACAGTATTAACCATGCATTTCAGATCCCCCTCATTGCTTTACTTGGTCAATCAGTAGACACTTATAGAACCTGTAAAAATATGTACTAACCAACAGGAACTAGGAAGTCATCACTTTTTAAAACAGGGCAATCATTTTGGCTCTAGGTATTTAACCATGACCCATTTCACTGCCTAAGTTGCCCACACACTGGTTTGTCTGGTCCTTGGGCTCCTTTACCAATTCGATGAGAATTCTCTTCATCACCTCATGCTTTTCCAGCTTCACTTCCACAAGGTCACAGTTCTGAAAAGAGAGCTGTATGTTCTCTTATTCCTGGGTCATGACTTATTGTGTCATCTTAGCAAACGCTGGGGTAGACAGTCTTCCCCTGCAGACAGTATCTGTGCTTGTCGCACTGTGCGTTTACGGCTCATCAAGAGCTAGAGTCTATTTCTCAAGCTCCTTGAGTCTGGCTGACCTGTGACTTGCTTTAGCCTGTAAGACTGTAGCAAATGTGATGCAAACAGAAGCTGTGAAAGTGCTTATCCTTTCTCTGTTCTTGGAACTCTGAGAAGTCTGTGCTAGCCTGCTGGAGAGTGAGAGGTCACAGAGTTAAAAACCACCAGCAGCCAGCTTCCCACCAGAGACCTCAGAGAGGCCATCAGTCCAAGCCGACCGCTGACACCCAAGTCCAGCAGTGATCAGCAGAGCTGTCCGGTGGTGTACAGTCTGAATTCTAACCCACTGAACTGTCAGTTAATACACGGTAGTTGTCTTAAGCCACTAAATTCTGGCACGGTGTTTCACTCAGCAAAAGCAACTTGAAATAGTAACTAAGGTTTCTACTTTCATATTTACACAAAGCGTTTAAAAATCATGGAGTGTTGCATAGTCATTAATTCTCAAACACTCTAGTTAAGAGGAGGAAAAAAGAGAGCAGGGAACAGCTCTCAAAAATATACAGCTGTAGACTCTCTACACCTCTTTAGACTGCATGGCAGAATAGACAAATACACAGAACCAAGGAGAACTTCAGTTTGGACCGCCTGCCTGGCCCGGGTGTGGGGCAGCGTCACTCGCTGGATGATGGAGCTTCATGGAGACATAGGAGACTGGCTGGTCTGACCAAAAGCTATAGTTGGAAACTTTGTCTTTAACAGTTCTTTTTCTTCTATAACTTTCATCATAAGAATTGTTTATGTTCTTGACTGCAACATGGTGCTCGGTTCTTCAAGGTGTCTGTAATCACACTTAATGTCCCCTAAACTCCTATTTTCTCGTGTTTTGTGGGCGGAATATGAGTAATTAGGCTCATCGCCTAGAATCTTAGCTCTGGAATTTTCCCCATCCCAAACTTCCACAGCAAAGTTAGAATGGAAAATTAAATTATTGACTATAAAATAAATATTGAAATAAGAGTTATTAAACCCTCCGTACGGGTGGTTTTCTGTCATATGTTCAATGCCACATCTATAGGGAAGTAATTCTATATTCTACACAATATTTCCTTTTAATCCATGTATTGATTTCCTGATGCCTCTTAGGCAGACAACATAGACATTGTGAGTATATGTCTACAATGAAGGAAAGGTGTTCCATGTAATGCCTCTTCTCTAACCCAGTGGGCCCAGACCAATCCCAGGCTACTGTTATTTCTGATTAAAACTGGGTGCAGCTTCAAAAAAAATTACCAAGTTGTTGCTGTAAAAATAAGCATTTTCTTACCTTAGATTTGTGATCTGATGTCAGCGTCTGAATTTTAATTTCTGTTTCTTTCTTCATTTCAAGACAATTACTTCCCCTGAAAATGGAAAACCGCAAATGCATGCCAAGCATGAGATATCTCCCCACTCCCAGAGGCCTTTGCTCCAAAGCCTTCCACTGAAGACAATTAGTTCATCACACCTGGGATGCCATGGCTCACTGGGCAACCTCAGTTCTTCTAGTAATAGATGCACACCTTACAAAATATCTGTATCGTGATTACTCAATTCAACCACTACACAAAGAGCCATTTCAGATCTAACAATTATTTCATTGTAAAGGATTTGTTGTCAGTTTCCATTTTGGTTCCTGCTGTTCTTCAAGCTATTTTTCATTTATTCAATAATATACTATTTAGGATGAGAACTGAAAAACAGGACCTCAGCCTTGAAGTGAATTTTCAATTCTTCTACTTTGGTTGTAAAGCCAGATTTTTGTCTTTGACACATGCCAGCAAGGGAGAAAAATAGCATTTCTTGGCACTACGGGGTAATTTTTGCTTCTTACTCTATTGTGAGTAGGAAATATATACTAGGCAATTGCCCAGCAAGCATTACTGCTTATTTCAGTGATTATTTTTTCCTTTTGGAATATCCATATCATTGCTGAAACCAAAACAGGCCCTGAGTGTCTGTCTTCAGCATGTATGCTCTGATTTATTATAGCCTAAATCAGAATGCTTCATCGTATTATTAATGAAGAGTGCCTCTGAGAGACATATTCTAAACATCCACCTGATCACTTCTCCATGGCTGGCACTGCGTGTGTTTTCCCTGCTCTGTTATTCAGTTAGCTTGCAACATCACAGAGACATCTCCCTAGCTGAATTCTAGATAAACTCTTTCAAAGTAAATGCAATGACAGGTTTTATTCAACAGTTTTAGCTATTGGAATAAGCAAAAAATTCTTGAAATATTAAACATCAAAACTGGAATTGTCCCCCTTGAGTACATCAGCCTTATTATTTATTACCTGGTGTTGCAAAATGATTTCTGGAATTTTCCCAACTTTGTCTTTCCTTCTCTCCCCATTCACCTTAAAGGTACTTGCATGGAAAACTCATGAAAGACACAGTTATTATTTCATTAACCAACATCTGTAGAACTTGAACAAAGCTCCTCTTTCCACTTCAGTCACTCCCTTTAGCTTAGTAGGTCTCTTATTTTCTGAAATCATTTTTAATGATGAAAACACAGCTAAGACTAAGTTCTTCCTTGGCCTAAACAGGCAGCTAAACTGTGGGAAAAGCCAGAACATGAAAAGGCAAAAATCCTCCAGAAGGAAATCAACAGCGCTTACCCTTTCTTCTTCATTGCCTTCTCTAGGATTTTCTCATGAGTTAGTTTCTCCTTGTCGTACTGGGCCACAATCTTGTCAACTTGCGTGCAATGTAGTTTCTGCATGGTACTGTGCTCCTGCAAAGAATTTGTGGTTCCGAGTTAGACTTGCAGTAAGGCTGATAAACTTTAGCCCACATTGGGCTGGTATAATTTTCACCAGTGCCTGTGGAGTCTTGGTTTGCAAATCAAGAAGTAACTGAGTCTGGGAGACAGAAAGACTTCCGATCTCCCACCCAACTGGAGAGTTTCTTGTATCCCCATAAGGCCTCGCCAACAAGGGGGTCTCCAGCCTCAGTCCAATGAACATGCCTCCCTCCAAAGGCAGCCCCGCCCACTGCCGGGCAGCACCAATCATCCCGAAGTTCTTTCCTCTGCACATTGATGGCTCTATTGAACTCCACCCATCCATCTTTTTTTCTTTTCTTTTTTGTCCGCACCATGTGGGATCTTAGTGCCCTGACGTGGGATGGAAGCCACGCGTCGCTGCACTGAAAGCGCACAGTCTGGACCTCTGCACCACCACCGAAGTCCCTCACTGTCCACCTTTGCTCTGCTGTCTGAGTCATCTGACTGGTCCACGGCCCCTTCCTCAGCCTAGTGCCCAGAATGCAAACTCAGTCTCCACATTTCTTCTCTTCCACATGCTGAATATAACTACTCATCGTGTGGCATGGCTTCTACACACCAGGGACATTTTAGAAGCTCTTGAACACCGTCCTTACACAATGAGAACTGCCACTGTGGTTTCACTGTCGGTGCATTTTGGATCCCTAACAATTAATATTTTTTCCAGCTTCCTTATCCAGATGCACTCACAAGGGAGACAGAATGTGCAGGAGCCTTGGTCTTCAGCTTTACAGATATTTAAAATATTTCTCCATCTGCTTCCTCTATCACTGAAATGGGCTGAAAGGCTTTGAAAATAAGTATTTCTCTATGAATATTACTTTTTCCTGATAATTTGGCCATATCTAGGGACTTAATGAAATCAGATTCTTTAGCTGCTCAGCCCCTAAACACAGAGGAAAATATTACTATCAGTAATATTCACTCCAAGATGATGCTTAATGTATTACTCCCAGTATTACTCTTGAGAAACTTAGAGAAATGAGATGATATTAAAGTCTGGAATGGATAGACTACATTCAGCTTATACAGCCACCCTCATGGCCATGTTTGCTTTTGCTTACTTTTTAGAGTGTGTCCAAAGAAGACATACAAATGGCTAACAAACAAGTGAAAAGATGCTCAACATCACTCATTATTAGAGAAATTCAAATCAAAGCCACAGTGAGGTACCATCTCACGCTGGTCAGAATGGCTGCCATCTAAGTCTACAAACGATAAATGCTGGAGAGGGTGTGGAGAAAAGGGACCCCTCTTACACTGCTGGTGGGAATGCAAACTAGTACAGCCACTGTGGAGAACAGTGAGGAGATTCCTTAAAAAACTGGAAATAGAACTGCCATATGGCCCAGCAATCCCACTGCTGGGCATTCACACTGAGGAAATCAGAATTGAAAGAGACACATGTACCCCAATGTTCATCGCAGCACTGTTTACAATAGCCAGGACATGGAAGCAACCTAGATGCCCATCAGCAGGCGAATGCATAAGGAAGTTGTGGTACATATACACCATGGGACATTACTCAGCTATAAAAAAGAGCACATTTGAGTCAGTCCTAATGAGGCAGATGAAGCCATTATACAGAGTGAAGTCAGAAAGAGAAACACCAATGCAGTGTAACAGCGCATATATATGAAGTTTAGAAAGGTGGTAGTGATGACCCTATATGCAAGACAGCAAAAGAGACACAGACGTAAGGACAGACTTTTGGACTTCATGGGAGAAGGTGAGGGTGAGATTTGAGAAACAGCACTGAAACATGTATATTATCATATGTAAAACAGATGACCAGTGCAAGTTCAATTCATGAAGCAGGGCACTCAAAGCTGGTGCTCTGAGACAACCCAGAGGGATGGGGTGGGGAGGGGGGCGGTTAGGATGGGGACACGTGCACTTGTGGCTAATTCATGTTGATGCATGGCAAAAACCACCACAACATTGTAAAGTAATTAGCCTCCAATTAAAATAAATAAATTAGTTAAAAAAATTAGGTGTGCAACAAAAGTTAGTGACTTAATTTTTAAAAATTGATTCTCTTTCTAAGAAAATCACCTTGAACCTAATTCATGAATATCTTTAAAGATTTCATAAAATATAAATGGGGAAGGGATTTTGAACCTTACCAAGATGTCCTTAATTTCCCAGTGTTGCTAGTGAGTTAACACAGGAGTTGATCTACAGTTCACATATACATCAATTCTTCAGAAATGCATTGGCGCAGCCAGTCCTAGCCTTCCTGCCAGGTTGATAAATGCCTTTGCGAGTAGGTGTAGAGGAAGGTGGTGATGGGTTCTTGGAATAGGCTCTAGAAACAGGGACAATGGGGTGGCCCTAGATGATGATACTTTGCTCTGGATTTGGGGTCAGAGAATTATATGTAACAATGTCTTGCTTAATTTGTGGATGGAAGAGATGATAAATCTAGTCCTAGTACCAATCTAGTCCTAGTACTGGGCTGGCCAAAAAGTTCATCTGGGTTCTTTGGCCAACCCAATATATGCTCTTGAGTGTTATAAACACATTTCAATCAGGTCTTCTGCATTGGATTAAGGATATGAACAGTCTCAGGTCTTGGGACAAGCCACTTAATCTCAGTCTGTCCATCTTTATAATTGGGATAGTGATACCTACTTTAGTGGGTTGTTAGGATTAAAAGTAAATATAATATAAATCATATTTCAAATGCTTATTAAGCCTTATTCAAAATATGTTGCTGTTCAGTTGCCAAGTTGTGTCTGATTTTTTGTGACCTCATGGACTGCAGCACACTAGGCCTTCCTGTCTAATTCAAAATATGGTGACATACAAATCTACTTATATTATTTGATCCTCATGGAAACATGCAGAGTGACCTGAGAGAACAGCCAGTGAAATTAAATCAATAAACCTTTCCTTCAAGTTTAACACACTACCCCAAGAATAGATTGACATGTTGATGTATCCTTATTTAAATGGATTTAGCTACTTCTGTACTATTATGGGGGGAAAACACTAAAAATACTAGCCTTCCTTAAAAGATTTAATAAACATCACGCCTGTCTGCACATGTATTAATTTTCCTGGACAACTAAATAAGGGGCTCTGTAAGTCTAGGGGCTTCCTAGGTGGCTCAGTGGGTAAAGAATCTGCCTGCAATGCAAGAGATGCAGGCAGACACAGGTTTGATCCCTGGGTCAGGAAGATCCCCTGGAGGAGGGAAGGCAACCCGCTCCTATATTCTTGCCTGGAAAATCCCATGGACAGAGGAGCCTGGCGAGTTACAGTTCATGGGATCACAAAGACTTGGACATGACTGAAGTGACTGAGCACACATGCATGTAAGTCTAGAATAAAACATCCTAGAAGTGCTACCAGACATGGAACAGACTAGTTCCAAATCGGGAAAGGAGGACATCAAGGCTGTATATTATCACCCTTCTTATTTAACTTATATGCAGAGTACATCATGAGAAATGCCGGGCTGGATGAAGCACAAGCTGAAATCAAGATTGCTGAGAGAAATATCAATAATCTCAGATATGCAGATTACACCATCCTTATGGCAGAAAGTGAAGAGGAACTAAAGAGCCTCTTGATGAAAGTGAAAGAGGAGAGTGAAAAAGCTGAGACTGAGTGACTGAACTGAACTGACTGAACTGATCAGTAGTGTATAGATTGGGATTCACACTTATTTCTTTGGCTTTCTTTTAGAAATGGCAGATCCTCCTTGACACACCACTGTTTCTTCTGCATCCTGCAGCTAACCTTCAAGTTTGGAAATAGGCTCTCTTATGGACTGCACATTGCTTAAATGACTTGGTTAAGTAACCACATTCTCTGCTTCCCTTTACGAGAAGAGAAAGGATTTCCTCAGGCTGATGTGTAAAAGCTAAGAGTGCCTTGCAATCACGGCACATGCTGCTCTCTGCTCCGGCGGCCATGTGCATGGTGGCTGGTGCTGGGGTCGGAAGGTGCAGCCCAGGCCACCCTCCCTCCTCATCAGGGCTGTTTATAAGCCAAGCCTGTGTGGTGGCAAACTTCATTCCATCTTAGATGGTATCATAACTATTAGAAAGCATTATATAAATATTGTTTCATAGGAAGCCTGGGCGAGTTAATTCTCACTATTGCTTGACAACAGGGCAAAATCCATTTTTTAGGGAGACCAGCTCTGTATCTTGCAGGCCATTAGTGGGATTTCCACTGAGGAACAGTAAAAAGTGTTAAATAATACTCCTAAAGAAACAGTTTTCAAAATTTAGTGTGCATAAGAGAGGAGCTTCAGGCTTACCAGGTGGCACTAGTGGTAAAGAACCTGCCTGCCAATGGAGGCATTGGAGACATAAGAAATGTGGGTTCAATCCCTGAGTCGAGAAAATCCTCTGGAGGAACGCATGCAATCCACTCCAGTATTCTTGAAAGAGAATCCAAAGGACAGAGGAGCCTGGTGCACTATGAGTTGGACACAACTGAAGCGACTTAGCAGCAGTAGGAAAAGAGTTAACTAAAAATTTATTTCTTAGACTTCCCCATGGAGATGATAACAAAGTCTCTAGGGGGAACAAGAATATGCATTTTTTATGAAGCCTCCAGCTCTTGGTCCAAGGATCATTTGCGGAAAAAAATAGTCCAAAAGATGCCAAGATATTTGTGCCCTGGAGATTTATGATTGCTCTTAGAAAACTTTTACAAACAACAAGGTCTTACTGTATAACACAGGGAAGTATTCTCAGTATCATGTGACAAACCATAACGGAAAAGAAAAAAAAATTTTTAAAGAATACACACACACACACACCTATATCAAAATCACTTTGCTATACAGCAGTAATTAACATAGCATTGTACTTCAACAAACAAACAAAAATCTTTCATTAGGATCATAAAGAAGATGTGTGGAAATAAAGACCAATGCTGGAAAATTCAGAGGTAACTCAATATAGTGAGGAAGAGCTTGAGCTCTGGAGTCTGAGAATTTTGATCCAAATCCTGGCTCCATCATCTAAACGCTAGGTGATTTAGTCAAGCTGCGTTTCTGTTAAAGTAACTTATCTCATCTGGCAAATGGCTGGAGACTATTGCAAAGAGGGTCACCATGGTCTCCCTCTCCACATCCAATCCCCTCTGCAGTCTTTGTGGTTCCTCCTCCAAGCAGAGTCCTCATCGCTTGAAGCTGGTCCAACCTCGTGACCCCCTGTAGCCACGAGAAGGAGGTAGAAGTGATGCTGTGCAGTTCTGAGCTGAGGCTCGGATCTTGGGATCCCTGCCATGTGGACAAGTCTGGACTACTGCTGAAGATGAGAGACCACAGAGGGCAGAGAGGAAGGGACTCAGGAGAGGTCTTGCTAAATCATCCAGCTTCCCACACCTGCCACGTGGCAGCAGACAGAAGTGAGCTTAGCTGAGACCGGAAGAACCCAGCCCAAACTGCTGACTGACCTGCAAAATTATGAGCCAAATAAATGGTTGCTTTCAAATTCACTACATTGGGGGTAGTTTGTTAACCAGCAAAAGCTAATTGATACAAGGCAATATATTAATATAATTAAAGTACTCTTTTATATAATTGCTATAAAATACCTAAGAAAAAATACTTAAATAAACCTCAGTATATATTAGCTAGTTTTACCATTTGATACATGCTGACAGAAAAATCAGTGTTAGGATCAAATGGATATCAAGCACTAAGTGTGTCCTGTGGTAACAGATTCAACCCCATCCACCCACCTCCTTCATCAGTTTCTCCTTTTTCACTTTTAAGGACAAATGTGTTAGCTGAGTAGACCTCAGTATATATATATATATTAGGCAAGTAAATATTCATATATAGCCTTAATCTTAAAAGTTGGCTCAGATGAGATAGTGGGAAGTATTAGGGAACTACTATAGACTCAAAAATTACAGAAAGTTTGTAGAGAGGAAGGTTTAACTATTTGAAAATAATTATTTGCAAAGGCTTTGGGAGAGTGAAAATAGATGAAAAGCACTTCAGTTATAACTAGCATAAACCAGTTGTGTTGCTGTTGGCAAGGAACTCACTTCTCTGAATTTCATTTTATTCATGCTTGAAATGTGGATGGAATGATTTGGGTTTCAAGGACATTGTGAGGATTTAAGAATGTATATAAAATGTGTAACAAAAAAGTGGCATTAAATAAACATCAGCCTTATTAGTAATGGTAGCTTTATACAAAAGATTATAGAAGTCTGAGTTTGGTAATTATACTGGCAAAGCAGGCTGAATAGAAAACAGGGGCCCCTGTGTATTTAATGTTGGAGAAGGAATTCATTCATAAGTTTATAATCATACATTTGTGACTTAAACTTCTGAAGTACATGTGGGTATGGAAAACAAGCCATGAAATGCATTTGCCTGCTAAGAAATGCTTCCAAAAGACATCCTGAAAAGCATCGGGCAAGCACTGTGCAATATGGCTCTATGATGTAACCTAAGGCATTTTGAAGGCTTCCTCCAAAAAATGTACACTAAGGCTGTTATGAAAGTTCACACAGATTTAGATGGTAGGATTTAGGGAGATTTGAAATCTCCTTTTAAGTTTTGGTTCTATTATAATGTGGGGCTCCAAGAAGCTCAAGGTTGTTTTGGCAAATGAAGGAAACTTGGATTCTTTCAAATCTTGGATTTCTATTTCAAACCCTAAAAGATGATGCTGTTAAAGTGCTGCACTCAATATGCCAGCAAATTTGGAAAACTCAGCAGTGGCCACAGGACTGGAAAAGGTCAGTTTTCATTCAGATCCCAAAGAAAGACAATGCCAAAGAATGTTCAAACTACCACACAATTGTACTCATCTCACACGCTAGTAAAGTAATGCCCCAAATTCTCCAAGTTAGGCTTCAACAGTATGTGAACTGAGAACTTCCAGATGTTCAAGGTGGATTTGGAAAAGGCAGAGGAAACAGAGATCAAACTGACAACATCCATAGGATCATAGAGAAAGCAAGATAATTTCAGAAAAACATCTGCTTCTGTTTCATTGACTACATTAAAGCCTTTGACTGTGTGGATCACAACAAACTGTGGAAAATTCTTCAAGAGATGAGAATACCAGACCACTTTACCTGCCTCCTGAGAAATCTCTATGCAGGTCAAGAAGCAACAGTTAGAACTGGACATGGAACAATGGGCTGGTTCCAACTTGGGAAAGGAGTCCGTTCAAGGCTGTATGTTGTCACCCTGCTTATTTAACTTATATGCAGAGTACATCATGCAAAATGCTGGGCTGGATGAAGCACAAACTAGAATCATGATCACAGGGAGAAATATCAATAACCTCATATATGCAAATGACACCAACCTTATGGCAGAAAGTGAAGAGGAACTAAAGAGCCTCTTGATGAAAGTGAAAGAGGAGAGTGAAAAAGCTGACTTAAAACTCAACATTCAAAAAACTAACATCATGGCATCTGGTTCCATCACTTCATGGCAAATAGATGGGGAAACAATAGAAACAGTGACAGACTTTATTTTCTTAGGCTGAAAAATCACTGCAGATGGTGATTGCAGCCATGAAACTAAAAGATACTTGCTCCTTGGAAGAAAAGCTATGACAAACCTAGACAGCGTATTAAAAAGCATTACTCTGCTGACAAATGTCTGTATAGTCAAAGCTATGGTTTTGCTGGTAGTCATGTATGAATATAAGAGTTGAACCATAAAGAAGGCTGAGTGCTGAAGAATTGATGCTTTTGAACTGTGGTGTTGGAGAAGACCCTTGAGAGTCCTCTGGACTGTAAAGAGATCAAACCAGTCAACCCTAAAGGAAATCAGTTCTGAATATTCACTGGAAGGTCTGATGCTGAAGCTGAAGCTCCAATAACTTTGGCCACCTGATGTGAAGTGCTGAATCATTAGAAAAGACCCTGATGCTGTGAAAGGTTGAAGGCAGGAGGAGAAGGGGACGACAGAGGATGAGATCGTTAGAAGGCATCACCAACTTGATGGACATGAGTTTGAGTAAGCTCCAGGAGATGGTGAAGGACAGGGAAGCCTCGTGTGCTGCAGTGCATGGGGTCATGATTACTGTCCAAAGACCACTTCCTATAAGTAGGAACAACAATATTTCAGAAGTAGGCCACCAAGCAGAGTTTACATAATGGGGGAAGTGAGAAGAGCTCTCTCCAGGTCCCCCGGCTGAGAAGTTTGGAGCTGACCAGCATCTCTCCTGATGCACTATGTGTAGCAAACTGTTTGCTAGAGACTCAAAGAATTTTAGTACCAGAAGCTAAGACTATGAGTTGGTTTTCAATAGTCAGGTGATAGATATTACTCAACAATTTTGTCATATTACTCAACAATTTTGAAAAGGGTGAAGCTTTGTTTTGCTTTTGAAATAACCATTAGAAATGCAGATTAGAAATCAGTGACAAACAATACCAAATGGAGTATCTTTTAAAATGCCATTTCTAACCAGTTAAAATGAAGGTCCTGCTGCCCAGCCTAAGTAGCTGTTTTGGCTGAGCTGCTTTCAGCAGAGAGCTTAAGGGGAAAAACACAGAAACCAGCATCCAGAGAGGCACACTCATGCTGCCTGCACACACAAAATAGTGTACCTTTGCATGTTTCTTCTTTAAAGAATTGAGCTCTTTCTGTTGTTTCTTTAAATGCTTCAAGTAAGCCTGTGGAAAAAGCAAATAAGCTTTGTGTAGTACTACCACAATGATTAAAGCCAGTGAGAAACAAAAATACAACCCCTTCACCAATAGAACAAAAGAGTGCTGGCAATATGACCCAGCAATTTTACCTTCATCTGCTTTAAATCTTCTATCCTCACTTGAGGGATCAGTTCAATACCTGAAACAAAGTTACTGTTTATATTAAACAAAAAGTCACTGTGTAATTAGAATAAACAATCATATCAAATTCAGCTTTGTAATCGCATCTAAAGACATTGAAGCAGCTTTATACATGCTAAGGCTGTAAAAGTCTTGGTTTCCTATTATAGGACAATTCACTAGACACTTACCTGAAACCTTTCTGGCCTGAGGTCAGGTCCCCTACTAGCAGAGACTGAGAAGAGGGTTTATGTGCATGTGATTTATGTGGAAGGGCTCTCAGGAGAAACCCCTGGGGGTGAGAGAAGCACTATAGAAGAAACCTGGGGGTCTTCCAGGCTGAAATCCAGCCTAGGTCTGATCCTGCAAGCTGTTAGCATAAATGGCCCTCCAGGGTTATTCTACCTTGAGGTAAGGAGACAGGGCTTGTGTAACCCCAGAGCACTCAGTTAAAGTGTCAGAAGTTTTACAAAACCCTCTAGGCATTTCCAGACAAGTGAACTCCCATGGTCTGAGGGCAACCCTAGGGAGAAAAGTGCAGCTGTGGTTGGCAGTCAGCCAGTGTCCCTCCCCGCTGAAGGATGGGCGCCAGCCCCATAAAGGAGCTCTGACCAGGCACAACAGCATCTATTACAGTCACTGTTACCTTTGCATTTGAAGATGCATCCTATCAGTCCACTAACTACCAACTCTATTGCCAGCTTAACATTGTTTTCAGCCCCTTTCCTTTACTGAATTTAATTCTAGCATTTAAGTGATATGCCACTAAGCCCAGGAATGCCCTTAACATACAGAAAAGGTGCTCTAGAGCCCTAACAAATACTAAGAGTCTGATCTAGTCCGCTGAGACGGTTTTTTGGTCTTGGTTCAGTGAAATCTTGATTAACAGGACCCTATGAAAACACAAGGGCTTCCCAGGTGGCTCAGTGTAAAGAATCCACCTGCCAATGCAGGAGACGCGGGTTTGATCCCCGGGTTTGGAAGATACCTTGGAGGAAGAAATGGCAACCCACTCCAGTATTCTTGCCTGGAAAATCTCATGGACAGAGGAGCCTGGCAGGCTACATTCCATGGGGTTGCAAAAGAGTTGGATACGACTTAGTGACTAAACAACAACAATAATATGAAAACACAAACCTGCCTCAACCCTGGTTTTGCTTTTTTTTTTTTTTTTAAAGAGAAAGACACATTGTAAAAATGTTAGTTTCTAGGAGAGGTTTAGGAAGTTAGGGGGGAAAACCACACTCTACAGACCAGGAACTGGTACAGGCCTGGCTCCATCTCTATACTCAGAGCAGCTTGTCTAATAGGACTTCTAGTGAGAGTGAATATGTTCCATCTGTGAACTGTCCAGGGCACCTGAGAAGCTCAAGTTTTTAGTTTTAAGCCTAAAAAGCCACATGTGGCCTGTGGCTTCTGTATCGGACAGTGTAGGTCTCCAGGTTTCCCTGGTGTGAAAGTAGGGGTTAATTTGCAAATTTTGGGCCCCAAAGATTTTAAATAGTTGAAGTTTCAGTACATACGGTTTTTGTTTTTATCAACACAGCTCATTAAAAATGACTTCTTTTCTCTCGAACTGTAATTTGGAGATCAACTAGTGAGTTTTCTCAGTTGCTTAATCTTAAAGTTAAAGAAGAACATCAAGCAGCACTAGTGTAGTTATTACTATTGGGCCACGTGTCAAATAGAATCCTGTGAGCTTCAGAGCCCGTCATGCTCACAGACATTCACAGCAGATGCTGCTGGGCGCCACCTGACGCTTCCTTCCTGCCATAGGACTTCTCTTCAATTCTTCTTCGTGGCTCAGACAGAACACCTTTCTTCCTTTCTCATGCAGCGGGACCGCTCCCTTTCTCTCAATTCGGCTCTCCCTCAGAGCCTGTTTCTCTGTACACCCTTCTCTGGCATTTTCCCTCCCCTCTTCACTGGTTCCTACCAACATGCAAGTGTTCTCCACAGCAACCGTTTCATACCTTCAATCATCAATTTTTCTAACCTGGTTTCCACTCTCATCACCCAAGCATCCCTGATTCAACAGTAACTATGCAGTTTTAACTTCTCTGGACTGTCTACACTACTTTCTCAAGCTCATTCTTCTTGCAAATCTTTCTTTTTTTGTTAGTTTGTTTCCATTCCTGCTATCTTCTAAGCAGTCTCACATCCTCTCTCTTCCCCTCTCTCCCATCTCCCTCCTCTTGACCTACCACAGTTTCGCTGTTGCATGTTTCTGCCCAGATGCACCCCCAACAGCTTGATGATTTCCAGGACAAGACTCATCTTACCCAAAACTGTCCCTTCTCTTGAGTTCTCAGCTTCACTCAATGGTACCATCTCTTTCTGTGACCTGTGCTTGAAGTCCCTGAGTTACCTTCTTCCCCCTAAAACCGACACCCAAGTCACCGACTGATTTCCATGCTTCCTCTCCCTCTGAGTACATCCAGCCTCATCCAGGCTCTCCTTGCTGTTAGCACGGCTTGTTCATTCACCAGCCATTTACTTCCTAAGAGAAAAGACTCTAGATCTTCACTAGGCATGGTTCCAGGGACATACTGGATGACAGAGGTGTGGTCTTGCCTGCAATAACTCCTTTTTCTAGTTATTATCATGTTATATAAATATCACATGAGTAAATATAATATAAACACAATGTGGTAAGTGTTAAATTAGAGGCATATATACCCTAATTCTTCACTGGCCCTTATCAGTTGTTCCCTCTTTTTAAAGACGACTCCCACCAAGACTGTACTAGTCCTTGTGAAAGCCCTCGGGGGTCCCTCTGCACCCTCAGGTGGTCCTAGGCCGTCTCCAGATCAGGCCCGCTCTGCCCCTTGCTGGCCCCGGCTGCTTCCTGGTGGCCTTGGTCTCTGCCTGGGCTCCCCCACCTTCTCTCCCTGCTTATGTCAGACCTGGGTTTCAAGGCCCAGCTCAGCTAGGATCCTGTCCTTGGGTCTCGTCTGATCCCTGGCTGGAAGGGACCCCCTTCCTCCCATTTCTAGGCAGTCAGCCCTCGTGAACACCACCTGGCCACGGTGTGGAAGCCTGTCTCACTGTGAGGTTCCTGAAGCTGTGAAGGCATTCCTCGTAGGACTGACCACTGTGCCTTAGAGGAGGCTCCCGAGTCTCCTGAACAAAAGGCCAAAATGAATCAGTGTGTAGACCCTCTTACTCAGGGTGTTGGCCCAGGGGAGGAGGGAAAAGGAGAGCTTCTTCCAGCGGCTCCTTCCTCTGTAATCTTATTAGGACCAGAAGTGAAACAGTTCTGAACACAATCATGGTCCCTTCTAGAACTAGGATCACTTCTGTGTTTTGTATTGAAAAAATCTGTACAACACGTTGAGTTGCAAGTTAGGCTTTATTTGGGGGCAAAATGAGGACAGCAGTGTGGGAGAGAGCATTTCAGAGAGCTCTGAAAAACTGCTCCAAGTAGGCGAAGGGAGGAGCTAGGGGGTTTTGCAACAAAGGGCAGGTAGTCTGAATGACAAAAGATGACTGTTATTTGAAGAAACCAGGTATGTCAAATCAACAAATTCAGCACTTTCCTATGTATTAGAAGAGTCTGGGCTCACTGAAATCACTCCTGTCATGTGTACCTCAGCTATCTGGTTCCAGTATTCTGTGTTTTCACATCCCACGTTTCCTCGGGGCTCATCGTAGGGAGTGGCTGCAGTCTGATGGCTGCTGGGTGGCACGTATGCTTTCCTTCCTGAGTTCCCTCCGGGCTCACCAGCTCCCAGTCATTGGAGGCTACAACTGCTGATGCCTGTGACATCCTTTGTTTACTGATGTGGCAGGAAATATTTCATTTCTCATCTTCAAGCTGGTCACACTGCTTTTTCAGGCCACTAACTAATGTCTTTCTGTTCTGGTGAGCATGACACAAGAACTTTAACCAAACAAAAACTCTCCCATTTCCCACTGCCTGTCTCTGTCTGAGAGGCTGATGTTAAGAAAGACAGTGCTGGATGGAAAGCCCATACCCTGCATCGTGACCTTGCTCCGTGTTCTCTCCAGGGAGGAACAGGCATGCTGGTGCAGAGCACAATTCGGGCTGCCTTTGTGCCATCTCGTTTCCTAATTTGCTTCTCAAAGCTCAACGCACATTGGATCTCCTGCTAAATTACCATGCTGCCTCGGTTAAGGAAAGCCTGTCATTTCTTACCTTAAACTGCAGCACTGTGTGTGCTTATGTACACAGACAACTTGGCTGTCTTACACCAAAGATGCTGAATTCACATATAAATGGGAGATATTTATACTGAGGAGAAGACCATTAGGAAAAAGAGAAATTCTTAAAGTAACAAAACTGAGTTTTGTAAATGATCCATGGTCAAGGAGGATATTTAAAATATTTGATTATCATGTGGAATGGGGATCATCCAATCAGAATGGATGCCTGAACAATAAGAATGGAAATCAACTTTAAATAATCAATACTGTTATTTCCCTATACATCAACTGGATATCAGCACATGGAACATGTAATTCTTTGTAATGCAACCTCTTATGCTCTTCCATTACATCTACAGGTAACCACAGAGAACTGGCCTTCAGGTGCCCATCTGATAATTTAACAAATAAATAATCATGGATGCTGAATATCTACCCATGGGGCAAAATTAGCAAAAAGGGGATCTAGGAATGTCAGGAACAATCACTATTCTGCTGGTTCATGAACTTGCTGCTCATGCTTATGGTGGTACCTGCGGGAGAGAGGGAATGATTTTGCTATGCTCACTCTGTGAATGCCTTTTTTTTCTCACAAAAAGAGTACCAAATTTCAACATTGCTAGGTCTACTGATATTGTATGTGGTATTAACTATGGTGCAGGGGATCTAGCAGATGAAACTGCTTTCCTGTTAACCACTCAGCGAAATTGAGCATTTTGTTCAACCCACAGAAAACCTGCTGCTCTTGAGTTTTATGGAGCCATGAAAACTGGCAAAAATAACAGTTCTAAATATCTGCATCAAAGTTTGGAAAACTGCTGGAACAGATAAGGAGCCCAGACAACTCTCTCTTACCTTTCTTGGCCTCCAGGCCAGCCCCCAGGGCAGCTGTGGTGGTTGGCCTGAGCTCCGAGCTGCTCTGAGGGGTCACATTAGCTTTGGCTGTGTTGGCTTTCCCTTTCTTCTCGTTCTTTGAAGTGTCACTGGGCACATCGGCGATGTCACTCTGGAGCAGAAATGCTTATATTGACCCAAATGAATGCCACCTAGAAGTCAGATGTCTTGCACATTCTCCCTTCTATTGAACCCAGTCTGTACCATCAACTGCTCCTCTGTATCCTAGCCTTTACCCCCTAAATAGATCTTCGCTTCAGGAGTAAACATATGGTTTCCTCAGATCTGAGCCAAAAGAGGAAGCCAAAGAAAGCAGGTGAAGCTCCTTTGTAATAAGCAGGCTATACCTTCTTTTTTCAAGCTACTGGAGAGATTTCTGTTTCCATTCTAAACTGAGGAGTAAGGGGAACTTGAAAAACAAGGAATGAAACACCACAATGGTACACTGGCATTGAAGGTTGCATATAAAGCTAGTAAAAAGTAAACAATAGTAAATGCCAATTTTATTTATTCACTGATTTAGGTGAACTGGTATTTCAATGCCTCACAAAAGCATCCTATATGTAAATGTTCCTAAAAGCATTATGGGTGTTTCCATTTCATTTCTAATGGGGCCAGGGTCCCCAGATGTGAGTGAAACCATAGTAATGAAGTGGGTCACATTTTATTAAATATGCTACATCCTCATAGACTTTTGAAACTGCTTTCTTGAAAGTTTGGTTTCAAAAACCACTTTTGAACTTATTCTATTAATTTATGACTTGGTCTTACTCTTATAATTAGTTAGACAACTTCCCCAACTCAGCTATCTTTAATTGGCCATTGCTACCTGTCTTAATTGACTGTTGCTACTTACAGTTTCAATGCCCATAGCTCTCATTTGATCCGCTCTCTTTTCCGTAATGGAAAGAAATTTCTTTGGATCTGATAAAGCATCCACAATATCTGCAGGGAAAAAAGTCACTGAGCTGTGAATTCTCTATTTTACTGAAACACCTAGGAAAATTCAGGTAATAAACCACTCATAATCTCCAACTCCCATAATGCCTTCTGTCATGTACCTTCTCCTAGGACATAAAACAAGGCTAGAAAAAGTTAGTTGCTGAAAGCAAAAATAAGGAAGGGCAAGAATAAAAGGCCAGATGATTTTCTTAATTTCCCTCTAATTTTTTCCCAAATAAAGAAGACAGGGAGACAAGGCAAGCTAAGTGAATGGATTTGGGGTCTAATGCTGAACTTGTGTGACTTTGAATAAAGTGATCAACGCTTCCAGACTCAGTTTCTTTGTATGAAAATTAGAACTGATAGCACTCACCCTGTTCACAGTGCAGGAGCAGCACTGGAAATGTTCAGTGAATAAGTACCTGGAGCACAGTAGATGCCACCAGCATAGTCTTATAAGATACAGAAGCTAATGCATCTTTAAAGCCAATATTAATTCCATGTAGATAGAAAGAAATCTATCTCCAGTGTTTTCTCTGCTATAACTTGCATTCAAAGTTTCATCTTTTATATAACCTCATTAGAAGAGTTCCAAGTATTTTCAAATAGACTTTCACATAATTTTGCATAATTTGTCAGTACTATAGAAGGAATCCTTATTTTTATAACCTTAAAACAGTACAACACCTACAACTTTTAAAAAGTTGTACATTAAAAAATTTCCCCCTAGCAGAATCACCTTCCTGATTACATTCTTATGATTTTTAAAATTTTTCTTACATTTTTTTCTCTTTTAAAATGGAAAATAGTATACACACAAGTTAAACATTCAAATATATAAAACAAAAAGTAAACGTCTTTTCTCCCACCCATTCCACATCTAGCAGGTAACTACTGCTCTCCATCTCTTACATCTGTCTATCTTTTAAAACCTTGAATGGGTTCATAGTAGTTTTTTTTTCTAGAAATGCTATTTTAAAAATTTTAAAGTGTTAATGCAGTTCACATCAACATGCCTGCTTCATCTCAGCTCCGTCACTGCCTGACGTGGGGGCAGGGGCTGCTTCAGCTGCCCTGCCCTTTTTGTCTGTGATGACCAAGTTGAAAAAGTATGTGCCGCATCAAACTTGAAACTTCACGTTATCCTTATTTTTCTTCATCTTTCTTTAAAGAGTTTTTTACTCTTTAAAAAGTTTTATTTATTTTTAATTGGAGGGTAATTGCTTTACAGGTTCCTAGTTTTTTATACCTGTTTTTTTTGTTTAACTTCACATGTCTTAAAAACACTTCCATATCAGCAATACAGATCTCCTACATTATTTTTAAGGGCTACTTAAATATTCCATCTGTTGATTGGCCATAACTTGCCTAACTAGCTTCTTCTTGATGGACCACTCCAATACTTCCAGTTCACTGACATTGTAAACAGTACTCCAGGAAATGTCTGTGAACATGTCATAGTATATTTTTGCCTATGCTCATAGAATAAGTTTCTGGAAGTCAGAATGATGCATAAAGGTATTTTTCCTTTTGGGAGTCCTTGCCAAATTGCTCTTCATGGAATTTTTCCTCCTGTCGGGAGTGGATGAGAAGGTTTGATTCTAGTTATTACTCATAGCTCCTGAGAAATCTTTGACTTATAATGGGGAATATTAACAAATTAGCCCTTAAAGCTTGCTCAGGAAAAATCACAGAAGTTTTTGGGAGGTAATATTCAAGGAATGTATTTATCTATGTTGGTGGTACCAGTGGTAAAGAATCTGCCTGCCAATACAGGAGATACTGCAGACATAGGTTCAATCCCTGGGTTGGGAAGATACCCTGAAGAAGGAAATGGCAATCCAATGCAATATTCTTGCCTGGAAAATTCCAAGGACAGAGGAGGCTGGCAGGCTACAGTCCAAGGGGTTGCAAAGAGTCAGACACGACTGAACACAGAGGACAGGAACTCTTTTATCATGGAAATTTTCCAACGTGTGCAAAAATAGACAAATAAAATAACTCCCCATATATTGATGATAAAGTCCCAACAATTATGAACAGTTTGCCATACTTCCTTTCTCTAAGATTCCTTTTTTTCTTTCTCTCTTTTTTCTCTGCTGAAATATTTTAAGGCAAATTCCAGACATCATAATGTTTCACTCCTAATTATTTCTGTATCTCTAAATAAGAAGGGAGATTTTTTCAGGGCCAACCTTACCAGTATGAACAAAATTTGCACTAATTCCTTACTATGATATAATACATGGCCTATCTAACAGGAAAAGACTCCGATGGTGGGAAAGATTGAAGGCAAAAGGAGAAGGGGGTGGCAGAGGGTGGGATAGTTAGATAGCATCACCGACTCAATGGACATGAATTTGAGCAAACTCCTGAAGATAGTGGAAGACTGAGAGGGCTGGTGTGTTGCAGTCCACGGCGTCGCAAAGAGTTGGACTTAGCGAATGAATAACAAAAATTCCCCTTATTTACAATTAGTTTGTTTCAATCAAGACACAAAATCTGCACTATGTCTCTGATACCTATGTCTCTTAAATGTTTTTTTAACCTAGAAAGGATTCTACAATTTATTGTTCTTAATGCACAGACTTATGGAGGAGACAGGTCAGGTATCCTATAAAATGTCCCATATTCCAACACTTTCTCATATGTCACTTAGCTCTAAGGCATGACTTTTTCTTGAATACATATTCTTGTGAATACAGTTCAGGAGGTGCTATGACCTCATACAGATTGTTTGGAGGCAGAGAGAGCCTGGTTGCTTGTTGTGGTGCTAAACTCACCAAGGACTCGTTTTTGTCTGAGTCACAGATGCCTCCTCTTTCCACAGTCCACACTCTTAGGGGGCAAAGCAAAGCACAGATGGTCCCCCTGAACTTGCCCACCTTTCCTGTGATCTATAGGACGTGGTCTCCCCACATGCTCCCATGTGGGATCAACTTTGCCTTGTCTTCCCACCAGCATGCTGTAATGGACGACCCATGGGACTGGCTTGTTAGAAAATAAATGCTTGCTTATTGTTAATGATATACAATCAATATATCAATATCATTGAATAAAGCATATGACATTTTTGAAGGGCAACTCGTAGTCCTTCCAGTAGTAATAACAATTCCTTGATCACTTAAAGCTAAATACCAAACTAATAAAACAGATTATTAAAGAATGAAATGATACATAATTCTTCCATCCTAACCAAGCTTCTTTCCTTTTTGTGAAATTTTTCCATATGAATACATATTTCACATGCTTTAGTTAACATTGTATAATCTGCTAAGAGTTGGTTCTTTGAAAAGATTAATAAAATAAACTTAAGTCAGACTCACAAAAAAAGAAAGAGTGATAATTAAAAAAAAAATAAAATGAAAGAAAATAAAATAAAATAAAAAATGAAAGAAGAGAAGTTATAAGTGACACCACAGAAATACAAAAGATCACAAGAAATTACTATGGACACCTATACACACACCAATAAAATGGACAGCCTAGAAGAAATGAATAAATCTCCAGAAATGTGAAAACTCTCAAGACTGAAAGAAAAAGAAATAAAAAATGTAAACAAACACATGTGATCAGTTAAGAACTGAGATGAGATCATTCTGGATCAGGGCTGGTCCTAAATCCCATGACTAGTATATTTATAAGAAGAGAACAGGACATACAGAGATAAAAAGAAGAAAGGCCAGGTTTTAGTGGAGGCAGACTGCAGCAAACATGAGATGCTGTGAAGAGAAAAGGAAGGATTTTTTCAGGTTTCTAGAGGGAGCATGGCCTTGCCAGCTCCTTGGTTTCAAACTTCTAGCTTCCAGAACTGTGAGAGAATAAGTTTCTATTCTTTCAAGTCTACCAGTTTGTGGTAAATCTGTTTACCAAAGAGACTGAGAAATAAAAACTCTGCTACTTAAATTCTTGGGTGTCCATCTTTCATGTGTGCTTCAGCTCACAAAGCTTTATCATTGTTAAGGGTGCCCCATCAGCCTCTGGACACTCCCAGGTCAGGCCATGAGTCCATCTTAGGGAAAGTGAACTTAAATTCTGTGGTATTCTTCCTGTTTACTGTGGCAATGTCTTGACCTCAGCCGGGAGGACCGATTGTACATAATTCTGACCTAGAATTTTATAAAATCTAGTTACAAAACATCCTGTAAATGAAGTCGCATGTCATTTTGTACTAATGGACAAGCTGACTGAGAGGCCCTGGTCCACCATCTGCTGTAGGCTTATGTAGAGGTAGCCTCAATTACACAACAAAATAAGATGCTTCAGATTTATACACTAGTTGGATGAATATCATTACTTAAATCTATTTTCTATTACCAGTATTAACACTTTTAGAAACTGCTGGGAAGTTATATCTCCAGATCCTGGAACTCAGCTTTATTGCTGGAGTTTTAATGGGATATCTTATTTGCAGTTACACATTCATTTAAAAAACTGACAACATGCAATAGAATAGAATTCAATAATAAATTCAGTCTAATAGTATTCTTTGGTTTCCCTGGTGGCTCAGGCAATAAAGAATCTGCCTACAAAGTGGGAGACCTGGGTCGATTCTTGGGTTGGGAAGTTCCCCTGGAGGAGGGCATGGCAAGCCACTCCAGAATTCTTGCCTGGAGAATCCCATGGACAGAGGAGCCTGGCAAGCTAAGGTCCATGGGGTCGCACAGTCCGACACCACTGAGCATGACTAAGCACAACAGTGTTCATGGTCAAATGGCAACAAAATTACACAAAGCGTATATGAGGCTTGTTGAAATTCAATCACAAGACATAAAGAGGAGACTGAAAAAGGGCTAAATGCTTGAGCCAGACTTAGGTTAGCTGGTTATTTGAAACAGGTGATCATTCCTGGAAGTTTTGAATAGTGAACTAGATACTTCTATAACACATAATTTTACCACGTGGTGGCAGGTGGCAGAAGGCAGCTACTGCATACCTGGGACAGCTTTGCCAAAATTATCTGACCAAGGACAAAAGGGCTCAGGATTAGGGAGCCAGCGCCC